TTACTTTTATTACCACTAAGTGTAACCACGAATTCCATACGAAGTACAAGTCGGTAAGCCGATTAACATGAATTCATTTTCTGAGTCTAGGAATTATTTTTGAGGGATCGATATTATGCTGTTAAAATTATGCTGATAATTTATATTAGTCGAATAAATAATGTCTGCTTTGGTGACTTGAAATTTATTTAAGTCTTGATTTCTTGGTTTAGATGATCACCTTCATCCTAGCAAGTCTTTCTTTCTTGTTTATCTATCGTTTCATCGATATGACTTGAATCTTATGTATTATAAAAAAAGTTTTTTAGTTTTTATTGATTTATAATATTTCTAAGCAAAGAGAAAAATTTGAGGAAAGGGAAAACGAGAGTAGCGTAGATTTAGCAGCTTTACCTGCTTATCCTTCACAGTCCACGTTCTCTACTTCGAATATCTTAGATAGATGACTACCTAAATTTATATATTTTTGTTCTTATCCTTGATAAGCGAAGTTGATAATGGAGATAGTGGAGACAGAGAGACAAATTTCCCGATAGATACCAAGGATGAATAATTTATAAAATATGAATAGAAGAAAAATTGGAAAAAAGGCAAAAATTTCTTGGAAAATTAAATGCAGTTTGTTGTATGTCCTTGTTTACATAAACAATTTTTTCATTTGAACAAAGATGTTAAAAAAACTTATTTAATCAGATGAAACTAACCTAATAAATTGCATAATGAATAATCGAATCGTTTATTCTTTCTCTTTCTCAAGAGAGAGAGAGATAACCAAACAGGATGAACAAAAAATAGTAGCTTAAAATAATTTTAGAAAAAATGATCCATGGATTATAGGTCAATGGATCGATTTCTGGTTGAAGATGATGATGGTACAAATGAATTAGAGTCCGTGCCACTTCCAATACAAACATTTCTTTGGCGACAAACAAAGTTAGTTTTTTCACTTATCTATTTATCATAATCAATAAGCTGATCAATTATGGCTTTCTTATAATCAATAACCAATGCCTTATCCAGTTATTTCCACAAATTATTTATCTACTTTTTATTTTTTTATTTATTATCCTTATTTACTTTATTTTTTTTGCTTCTCGCTGTAGGAGATGGATAAATGAGTGATTGCCGCTTAGATTATCATATGGAAATCTTAGATTTGCATTTCTATTCGCACTAGACCTATCATTAAAAAACTTGGATAGTGCTAAAAACCCCCTTATACCTCGAATAATGGTTCTCTGGCAAAAATATCTCAAATTTTCTGACATTAACAGCCAGTAAGACGACCGTAACTAGAAACCACTGACTGCTTATCTTGTTTGTTTATTTAATTATTTATCAGGAAGCAATCTATAAAAAGCAAAAGAATTTGAAAATATAGGATTTAAAACGAACTCTTTTTTTCGATATAAATACGAAATATTATGCGTTCGGCACCAGTAAATGCAACCATGGAACACTATATTTTGAACAAAAAATAATAATTGTATCCAAATTTATGTAATGTTAAATAAAGATAAAGAAAGAATAGAGATTTTAAATATTGATAGCTTTATTTGAAAATTTTATTTCTTCGTACATCATTCATTATCTTTATTATTTATTACCATTACTTACTACCAATTTAGGTTTTCTTATAGTATTTCTCAGGAAGAAACGCATCTAGTGATGCGTGGCATCTTCTGGGTTGCTTTACTATATTCCACACCTCTATAGTAGAATTTGGTTTCTTTTTTTTACCGTTTTTCAAAAATAATTTTATTTTTTATTGGCTTATTTATAGAGAGACTGTTAACTATTGTTTAATACTTGATTTAATGAATATCACCTAAATTTCCTGTTGATCTTTGATTACTTTAAAATTACATCGTCAAGTCAGCAAAATTTTATAAGAGCCCGAGAGATAGGATAAGAAAGATAAAAATATAATATCAATAGCGATGTATTCAAACAAACAACTTTGATGTGCTTTTGTTCCATCTTCAATATTTTTAATTATGAATTTTAACAGATGCATTCGTTCACGTACCGCGAATTATTAACAACTTCACTTTGTTCTTCTTCAGGTAGAATGGTTGAGTTGTTTGCCTCATTTGTTTTCTTCCCGACAGGAATAAATCTGCCCTTTAAAAATCTGGGTAATGCTGCCTGGCAAAATTTGTCTGTTCGAGCAAATCAATGGAATGGTGCGAGCTTAACCAGAAACGAAAATGAGCAGTAATAGAAAAATAAATAAATAGCATTTTAATTTGAAAAACCAACTCTAAATATGATTATTTCTAAATTCCGTTCTAAATAAGATTCTCATTTACAAAATAATATACGATCCCTAAAAAGCAGTCACATGAGCTCCTAGATATTCATTGGCGAGTTTACTCTTGTCAAATAAAAAATCACTCGAAATTCGATATGACCATTTTTTTTTCTGGTAAGAATAACTTATTAAACGATAAATATATATTAGGCATATTTTTTCTTTTTATTCAATTTATTTTATCAGTCAGTGTTCGCTAGTTTGTAATTAGTTTAAACCAATTAATGCTTTAATCTCGAGTTACTGATGGAATTCGATTGATTTCAGCCTTGATGATCCTAAATTGTTATCATTTTTTCACAAATTGCTAGAATGAAAAAAAAGTCGAGAGTTAACTGAAGAGGACTGGATTACTTTGAATTTCATTAGTTAGAAAGCAACAATTAAAAATCATTGATATTGAGTAAACGCTATTAGATGTTTTAGAAAACATAAATCATCCACATCTACTGGTGCCGATTATATTCCATAAAAATATAAAAAATTTATGTGAAAAATGCGCAGCCTTTAAATTTTCTCTATTTTAATGAGAAAAGAGATTATGAAATATATCCCCAAATCTAAGAATCTGGAAAATTAATTCCCATTCATAAGAATGTCTATTATAAGTGTCGTACTAGCCTAACATTTGTTGATAGCACTAGAGCACTGGAGAATACTAATTTTCTAATAATCTTGATGCCAAATCGAATATCTAATTTATCAGCATGGCTTTAGAACATAAAAATCCACTACTTCATACTTGTAAATATTGGTCAATCTTTTTGATTGGTCAATATCAGTTAACAGTGGAAAAATAGTTGAAATAGCATTAGTTGATTATTTAGACCTGGTCAATGCACTTGATAGCATTACCCATAATAAGCTGCTGGTTGCCACTGACGTTGTTGTATGGGCTCATAACTGAGTATCATATTATTTAAAGAAGAGGTACCGAGTTGTACGTTTCAATAACTGTCTTTTACCTTAGACCTTAAGGTAATTATATCAACCATTATTTTTTTATTTCATTTTTTATTATATATTAATCACATCATTAAATTCGTATTAAATTCTACCATTTATCTATCTGCTGATGACTGTAAAATTCATCATTCTCATGGTAGATCGGCTAATCTATCTCCGCAATAGAATCATCAAACTCGTTTTATGATAGGTAAATTGCCCTTTTTATTAAAAATGTGCCGTATTAAATATAAATTCGAAAGGATCCAATTTTTCCAATCTCTTTATTAATGGATACGTGTCGAATATCTTAGATGGCATAGTGAAGATCAAAATCTTGAATTCGAACTTCTGGATTACTTCTTCAATTAACTTGCAGAACCGTAGTAAAGATATCCTCAAGAATATTAAATTTTATTTTTCGGCCATATAAAAATAAATTTATTGTCAAAGTAAAGCGTTCATTCGACTTCTTTTTGGACATAGTAAAATCTGTTATTCTCTAAATACTGAGAATGAAGTAAATTGAACTAGTAAAATAAAGTAAAGTTAATTGAAGAAGTAATCCAGAAATACTTCTATACTCTATCTTAATAGCAATCTGTGCAGTTGTAAAATAATGCTTCAGTTATATAATATAGGCTCTCTCATACTTAATTCGATAAATTAAACAAGGTTTAATTTTAACCTAACAAGAATGGGCTCAAAACCTTTATGTGAAAATAAGCTCGTTTTTTTTTTTCATTCTCATCATTAGTTAATGTAATAAGTTATCGAATGATTTATAAGCCATTCCTTAGCCATTTTTAAAAAAAAGATTGAATAATATCATCCATAATTTTGTTTAAAAGCCTTCATGTTATGCAGTAAGGTTGAAATTTTAATTTTTCAGCATATTATATGGAAATAATAAATTCCATAAGAATTGTGTTTTTCTCTTCCCTTTACTTTTCTAGCTTTGAATGGTGTTATGCGCCATCAGATTATTATCACTTTTATTATTGTTTTATGATTAATTATGGTTATCATTGGCCACATTTTCCATATTTTATATCGCAAATTTCCTTTCATTTGCCACATCATGTGTTATTGCATGAATATTAATGCATATATATAGCGCTTGTCGTGCTGCTTGGTTGGTTTCAAATAAATATTTTATTCGTTCCGGTTGTCTAAAAGAAAATTCATTTTCAGTCCGTTTCTTGGCGCTAAAATTGGAAAACTTCATGAAGCATCGTGTGTTGTATGTTTCTTTTTCTTATATTTTTTACTAACTTTATTGATAACTTGGTTAAGAAGCGGTTATCAATCTTTCCAATGCTTCTTTCTCATGAATGTAAATAATAAAGGAGTAAATATTAAATATAAAAATATTTAAATATTAAAAAGAATTGAAAATAATTTTGAAATTGAATATGCAGTGTTTGAACTATCTCATCATCAAGTTTCATGGAAAAAAACTTCCTCAAAATTTCAAAGGAGCTAATCTTGACTTTAATGCTATAGGTATTAAAATTATTTTTAAAAAATAATTCAAATTAGTAAAAGGTACTAATTGGGGCAAATTTGATATAATGTAACTCCCGTGGAATGATAGCCAATCTCGAACTTTCAATAATGTATTATATATACCAGTTTTATTGCCAAATTTGAGTAAAACGCAATTAAAACGTGAATTTGCCGCTTGTTGAATCGACTGAACACTAAAAAATACTGAATGCAAAGAGAAGATTAATTTCAGACTTTTGAGCGGGTGGTCGTTCAAAATATCTTACATGGCCTTAGTCCATCTCTATCTGATGCAATTGGATCGGTATCGAGATGGCGTTTTGTACGGGCTGCTTTTCCACATATTGTTCAAGTGGCTTAATTTTTTTTCATGTTTTTCATGCAGTTAATTACTAAATTTTATTTAAAAATTATAAATAGTAGTGAAAGCCTTATTGGATTTTAAGGTCGTTTTTATGTGTATTCAACTGTTTAAGCGAAAGTGGTTTGAAGACCACATTTGCCAAATCTTTTTTATTTAATTTACATTTTTTTATTTACATAGCATGCTTATTAACCGACATATCGACATGCAATTTTTTTTAATTGCGTAGAACTGACGATCAGCCAATTATTTAGAAGTTATGCTGCAATTTTTTAAAGGAAATTTCGATATTTATTTTTAATTAATTTTGATTTGTATTAAGTTTAGTTTTAATATAATCGAAAAGCAATTTATAATTTTTAGTGCTGCGCAACGCTTCTTTCGGAAGCAGCAAATAGCAAAGGATCTTCACCACTTAGTGGACCACTTTCAAAAATACTTTATATTTTGCACTGGCTGCTCTTGGATTCAGCTAACGAATGCTGCGATGCAGAAAGTAGAAAGGTTCATTAATATTTGCTTTTTCATTTACTCTTTTAATTTCTTTTTAACTTCTTGCTCAATTGTTTTCGCAATTTTAATTACCATTTCCTTTCTTATATTTTAGTCTCATTAGACAAGAGTAACTGCTATTACGACTAAAATGCGAGAGGTTGCTAGAGGCCTAATTGTAAAGCCGTCCTCCAATGATTCCGAGATGAAATATTTTTGAATTAATTCGAATCTCTTTATCCACTTTTATTCACGGCATTATTGCATAATTTCATTCATTATTACTGTAAATAATGAACATTTTTATGATTATGGTATTTCTATTCCATTTATGGTATGCGCTTTAAGCAAGAGATTGCAAGAATATCAACCATGGTGATATGATTTAACGCTTTCATGCATAGATGAACTGATAATTTAGAGATAAGAGAGGATTAATGCAATTAACTCGAGCGACAAATTGCTTTATGGTGATGTTTATCATTAAAACGATTGTCCCCATATTGTTTTAAAAAATTTGACGGAATTTTCTTTCTTTCTAGATTATCTAAATTCTACTGGAAACCATAGGAAATAAAGGAATCAGCAAGATCAATAAAATTAAGCTCAACAAGAAAAATTTTCTTTTAATTACAGTACTTTTTCAACAAAGTTTCAATATATCTCCCGAAAATAAGTAAATAAATAAACATAAAAAATTTTCTTTTGTGGAAAAAAATGAATGCTCAAATTTGTGAACAATTTGAAATAATTTATTGTATCTAATTAATCTATTATACTGATGCCGTTTCACTTAAGGTTAAATGGGTAAAATTTTTGAGTAATATTTTTTTTTACCATCCAAAATTTCATAGGTCACATTAATTTTCTTCTTTTTTTTAAATGAATATTATCATTTCTAATTTGATTGGTTTTACTTTTTCCTTTTCATCACCGCTTGGTAATAGAATAATAAAGATAACTACATCTTTGATTCTTAATTTTTGCAGAGCCTAATAGATAGTGGTGAATGGAATGCACATTCGGTACGAAGATACACATTTTCTATAAGTAGTATCCAGTTGTTTGTTTACTTGATTACACCTCTTATCAGTGTGATTAATGAAGAAAACATTTCTTCACATATTCGACTCGAAAGTGGTCTGAAAATTTGGCAATCACTTTGGCAAGTTAGTTATTTTTTAAAATCTATATAAATTCATTTGATTTGATTTGACTTACTATGGATTTTTTAATACGTTTATTGATTTTATTGGTATTCATTATTGATTACTGATATTTTATCCTGCATATATCTAAAGCGATTATTCGGACCATAATACAGAAAAAATGCAAGAGAAAACCTTATAGCTAAAGAGAGAATTTTTTCATTTATTTCTTGATAATTTAATCGAAAAAGTAAGACAAGAAAAACTGACAAAAACGCCACATCGATAAATTTATATTAAAATGAAAAAAAATTGGCAGATTTTACATGCAGATTTGTTTTTATTCCAAATATTTTATTCATATGGAAATTGAAATTTTAAAAATAAGTGATAATATAGATGATTTTTTCCATATGACTTCCTCCAGCTTGTCGCCATTATTGACTAGGCTTGCTCTTATATGGGTAAGGAGTTTATAAGAATTTTTTATTTTTTTGATCTAATTCTAAAAAATTTTCGATTTTGTAGTACCGTCAGCCAGAAGTTCTCTGTTTTTGCGCTCCAGTAAAGCAGCGACGCTCGCTTATTCCTTTTATCACTGTTGCGAAGAAATCACCGAGAAACTCAGTCGTTCAAGGCATATATCTCGGTAAAATAATCTGATATGTAGATCATATGTAAAAATATTATACTGAAAGTTCAGGTTAATCTTTGTTTTTTTCCTTCTTTTTACTTTGCCCACTCCAGGCGATGAAAAAGAAACCACAAGACGTTTCTCGACTGTATCAGCACAATTCGCTAATTTTCCGCAGTTTACCTTACCACCTGCTAAACCACCTCGGAGCGACCTAGCGGTCTTGGAAAGTTTGGGAAAGAAGGCGGACAAACACAAGAAATTACGAAGCATAAATAATTATAAAAATGCAAACAGTAAATCAAAGTCGAAAGCTGTGGGTCTACTTGCAAATTTTTTTTATTCAAAACATTCTAAATATTATTCTAAATTTATTATTAATTAATTATTAATTTCTAAATATTATTCTAAATTTTCGAGTAAATTGCCATTCACGCTTGAGTGTGATTACACTCATTACATTACAAATTACTTTCTTTATGTTAAAATATCCTATTTTCTATTCCATAAGCATCTATATTTCATGGATTTTTTAGGAAATTTTTAATGATAATGATACGAAGAGTCGAGTAGTGAGAAGCGTTAGTGAATATCATGACGATAACCTTGCTTTGGATATCAGGCAAAAGTTTGCAAAGAGTAAAACGACGACTTTCGACATATCGCCAAGTATTTCTCTACTTTTTCTAGGAATATTATACTACAGATTTAATTCAGTTGGACGTTGCACAATTCAATTTAGATTAGCTTTCCCCAGTATCACAGGTGCTACAAAAATTGGCGGTCATCAAAGATATAAATAGTTATAAATTACCTTAAATCACCACCTGAAATATTTTGAAGATTGAGAAGTGCATTGTACTAAGTTGATCTGATGAAATATCCGTTGAAGATCACCCAAACATTTAGCAATTACCACTCATCGGAATGAAATCTCGGTGGATAAAGAAACTTGCAAGGGTTCCACTTTATTGATTAACTTGTCGGGTAGGTGAAAGAATAAACAAAAATATGAAAAATTAATGCAAAATTGATTTCATTAATTGACTTTCAGCGGTGACAAGAGGTATGGAGGAGATTGATATGGCATTAAAATTAGTCGAGAATAATTCTTTAAGTGATATGATGGCTGACCTATCCGAGAAAGCTCCACTTGTTCAACTCCAAGAAATTTGTTCAAACATATCCAATGACATAGAAATTCCATTACAAAATGCTTGCGATGTTAGTTAAGTTTTATTAAATATTAGTAAGTAAAACAATAATTGCGATTAAAACTGCACAGAATGTGAGTAAAATGTGGAATAAATGTGAATGTAGTTAAAATAAAATGTTTTAAGAAGAATAAAATTTTTTAATTTTCTAAGATTTCGCGTATTTTTTGCCAGATAACTCTCTTGTCAGTCTAATCAGAGTGATGCGCATTCTGTTAAAATAAAAGGAAAGAGTGAAAAACTTAAGAGTAATGTACCATATGCACTTACTTAATTTTTCAGATCACATGCGGAAAATGTAAAACAGTAATTTTCCGTAAAGGATCTCTTGTTGGAACTTGTAAATGCTCAAAAGATGTTCCTATATCTAGTAGTAAATTGAACATTGTTCCAACTCGATCAAGCTCGGAGCAAAATAGTTCAGTTATGAGCTGTGAACGAAGTACAGGTGTCTTAAAGAAATTCATTTATAACAGAATCCGTTCGCATCCATTTTTAGATTCTTAGCAACTGAATAATCTTCTGAGATATTATTGAAAGCATTCTAAGACTAATATTAGATTAATATTGAAGAAATTTGTTTAATTATACATTCTGCAATTAATTTAAATGATTGTATAGACGAGACGATATCTAGTATACACACTGTAATTCGGAGACCAACCATTGCTATCGAAAATGAAATTATTAAAAAGGAATACGATCCTCTGGAAAATTTGTCTTGTGGAAGTGAAATAGTGCAGCAGGTAGATATTCATGTTATATTAATGTTATATTAATATTTTCTGTTAAAATAAAAAGAAAGAGTGAAAGACTTAAGAGTAATGTACCATATGCACTTACCTAATTTTTCAGATCACATGCGGAAAATGTAAAACAGTAATTTTCCGTAAAGGATCTCTTGTTGGAACTTGTAAATGCTCAAAAGAGACTTTTTGTCAATTAATAATTGACAAAAATTTAAAATTGATGTACAAAAAGTAAATTAATTGAGCAAACGCTGTGCAAAAAAGCTCTTAAAAATTGCGAAGTTTTTTTCACAGAAATAATCATTTTATTCCGGTTTTTTCTTATTTAGAACAATACTGATCCACAAGAGGCAAGTTACCTTGATATAGCTGTGATACGTTGCCTACTGATAAAACAGTGGTCAGAAGATGGGATTCACTGGGCATTGAAATATTTGATTAATCGACTTAATGATATTGAGAGGTATCGCAATACTCAAGATGGCATGTTTCGATCCCGTGCAAATTCCGCACCTACAACTCCACATCTGAAGGTTGTGCAGTGCAGAACGGTAAATAATCTTATTTTACAGATAGATTGACTTAAATCTAGAGCTTTATAGAAATTTTCGCTACATTCCCAAAATTATAAAACCTGCGGTATGAGAGGGAAAAGAAATACAATGACGAAAAAAATTTTCTTCTGAGATTTTTTAATGAATATGCGATAGTTTTAAATGAAAATATTTTTATAAATGATAAAAAATCGTCAATAAAAAATATACAGGATATTCGACAAAATTTGCCAACGACTGTGAGTCGTGCTCCAAACTGGGACGATTTACAACTCAATAATGTTATAAGCGGTTTTAGTCAATTTATGAAGAATTCCGATCCCAATAGGAGGTAAAACTAGAAGTTTGGTTATTTATTTGGAATCTTCAAAGCTTATGAAATGTAAACTGCCAAAGATTGAAAAAGACTATCTATATTTGGTACTTTAGAAGGTCGAGGTCAGCAGTTGAAGCGCCAGTACAATCAATGAAAGTGGATAACAAACGATATAATATCTCGACAATTTCCGGACTTACTAGATGCGAAAGGCGAGGAAAAATTGAGCGCAATAGGTTTAAAATTTGATACCTAAAAAAATTTTTTGCTCTCAAGTCAAATGATAAACAGTTTTATATAATTTCTCTTACATTGATCCTAAAAAAGCAACTACCTTGAATTCAAATTCCAGGAGTGATCCATCAATAAGCAACTCTTCCGACATTCCATTTGGCCGTGATATTCGCAGCGGATCAGTTGCTGGAATGACTGGACAGGTCATTGATGAGAAAAACACAAAGCAGTTTTTTCCCGAGGTATTTTCATTTAAAATTGCTTATGAAATATTTATGAAATATCTGCATGTCTGAAGTAAGCATGCGAAAAGCTAGAAATATAAAGGAATTTCAGATTTTATTTCTCGCCTACCAACAATTGTAAATCTTAATAAAATGCAATTTATTTCAGGCTTTAGGCAGTTCGAATTTCATTGAGAAGAATGGCCATATAAGTTTCATTGTCGTACTAAAAGCAGTAAATCTCTTGATTAAAAGATGTTCTTCGATTCGTATTTGTGAATTAATTTTAAATATATGTGAATGTCTACTTGGTATGCCGAATATTGATCACTCACTATTCTTCGATGAAATTATACAAATCATTCTAAGGTTAACACTTTTATTTTGAAGAAATATGTAAGAAAGAAAAGAAGAAAGTGCTTTAACAGGTAACCACCATCAGCCGAAAATAGATTCACTCTTACCAAGGGGAAGAACCAAATCATGACGCTTGAAATGATAGTTTGACTAATATAGCGGTTGTTTTAAACAGCTGAATTAGGTTTTACCTCCAACTTTTTTGTCGCGATATCTTATTCTCTTTTTTTTTTTTCTTATATTATTTTATATTATTTAACGTGTTTATAAACTTTTTTCTTATATATATCAAGTTAATATATTTATTGCTCCAGTCTCGCTAGGCTTACTCCATGCTTTTCCAGAAGTTTTATATGGTTGGGTTGTCCACATGGATGTAATGACGGCGTTCAAACTCCACAAGCAGATTTCTTAAGAATTAAAGCCAGAACTTTATTATCGATAATACATCGATTAAACGCAGAAAGTTTCTCCAGAATGCTCGTCGATAATGTAGAATCTCTTAATATTCAATTGCTCGTTGATATAATGCATTCCATCACGGGTTTCTGCCGTGCTGATATTACTGGTAAAGTTTTGTAACCTATATATTCCATTATATATGTTTTTGTCGATTTTCAACCAATTTTTAATATTGTCGTAGAAGTTAATGATTAGGATCTCTGGTTAGGATCCACTCTATGACAAGAAATTTTCGCTTGCGGAAAATATAGATAGATCTCCAGTATCACCTGGATACTTTAATGATGGATTTATGGAAAATAGGATCCAAAACTCTAAAATTTACTTGTTCTGGAATTGCGAAGTCGTTTTTAAACACTTGATATTTTCTTATTTCATCCTTTAGCCATCATTTCTTAACCATCTTAACCATCATTCCTTGTTTATTTGGCTGTAATGAGTATGAAGATGCGGTCTTTTCACCAGCGAGTGGGGAAGGGTTAGAGAGATAGAAACTGGGTCTTAAGCAAAGAATTTCTATCTCTGATGGCAGACCTACCGTCAAGAAATAGAAATCGAACTCAAAATAATCGAACTGTAATAAATATATCTATATCTATAATATGTCTATATATCTTTCGATGCAATGCATCGTGGTTAGCATGTTTGTATTTGATATTTAGTCAACTTATTTACATTTTCACTATTTTCTTGATAGTTAATGCAGCTCGAAGAAGAAGCTCTTCGCCTCGCGGGGCATCAGATAAGAATTTGCCATCATATCGCAATCATTTTAATGAAAAGCTTAAAGGAATTGAGGGCACCATTATTAATGTGATCCTCAAACCAGCTGTCTCTAAATTAATGCGAACAATGCAAGAACTTTTACAACCAGAGAATATGGTAAATTTCATTCATTGTATAACTATTAAAATACCATCTTATATTATTAACAAGGCGCTCGATTTTTGGTTTCATTTGCTCCACTATCTATTAGGTCAGAAATTTATACTAAGGAGCCACCCATAATAAGTGCCATCATCAGTGCCATCTGATTTTTTAAGGCATTTTTACTAAGGACGAAGACCAAACTTTGAGGGTGGAAGCAATAATCTGAGCAACACAACTCGATTTTGAGAAGTACATGTGAATCGCCAGTTGATCTATTTATATATGTTAGATCAAATAAAGGGTATTTTGCAAATAGTGTATTTGATTTTTTCGATCTTAGACATTTTAGGGCATTAGAGACTTATTATTTTGATATGGGAGAGGTGCTTTTTGAATAACCATGTTTTTCAGAGCCTTTATCAAGATGTTCGGCTTTTCATATCGTTTATTCAAGAGCAGCACGGTAATCCGTTTCGTAGAGTTGGATTAAGCGCTTTGATTGATGGTCGGTTTATTGTACCAAAGCTTGAAGCTCACACAGCGAGTATTGACATGTATCATTTTATCTTCATTATTTTATCGCTTTATTCGTTGATGAAGTTTATTTTTTGTTTTGAACGTAGAGATCCGTGGAGATATTGGATAAAAGCGAATAAGTCTACTTGGGCATAATTTTCAGTCGACTTTTTTTCTCGATTCTGTCAATTAATAAGAAGCTATCTTAGAAGAAGCTATCTATCCATTTATCTTTTTACGTCATTCAAATATTTTTTATTTAGAGACTAAATCCATGCAAAATCACGCTTGTCCATGTATTAGAAACAAATAAACCAAAAAATATAAAATAAAATGGAGCTCTAGGAAATCCACAAAAAAGTACTAAAATTATCTTCTGCAGTCTGTGGCCAAAGCTTCTCATCAATGGAAATTATTTTTGGCATTGTTTTAAATTAATGAGAAATCGCAATTTCAAAGCATACTTTAAATTGATTACTAAAAGATGCCAAAAAAATTAGCAAAATGATTAGCATGTGTGATGCTAAAAAGGCTGCTCTATAGGTTTTTAACCGCTTAATTCGCTTTCCATTTTTTGAACTACGAGAGTTAACTCCATTCATTTGCGTTTGTCCTATTTTTTACATAGATGCCCTATTTCACATCTTCTTGATTGCGGACCCAATTTTTCAAAAATGAGTGATTCGTTTGCAAAATAATGAACGTATTCGATTCGAGGATGTTGTAGCACTGTTTGCATAATTTTCAAATGGTTTATATTTGCGAGTATGATTGATGATTTTGCTTTTTTTTTTTTATAAATTTGAGTGGTTTTTATCATTCAAGCAATTTGAATTTTAGTGAAGAAAGTTCAGATGGACCTGCCCGGCGGGCATCTTTTCTTCTACCACTTCCTGAAGTATTTGTTTCTGATTCTATCGATTTCGTAAACAACGATGAAGCCGAGTAATGAATACATTTATTATTCATACGTAAAGTCTCTCAAATTGATAGTATTTAATGATGAACTCACTATTTAACATCAGTGGTGGATAAAATGCTATTTGTTAACTGCATTTGTTGTATTTATCTGGAAGGGACTTTAACCTGATTTGGTTATTTTGTCCACTGCTGATTAGACTTTAATATCGGTAGATTAACTGTGGCTATAACGGAAGCAATTGCCTGTGGAGCCACAAATGCAATTAAAGCTTGTTTATTGGAATTAAATCGCGCTTCATCACAGCTTAATTACAAGTCTTAGTGATTGACTGCATTTGTTATATTTATCTGATTTTTCACCGCCGTGAAAAAAATTTTGTACTAAAATTTTTTCTTGGTGAGCAATTGTTTCTTCTCTATGTAAATTTTCAATGTTTGAAGCTTTTGGCAGCATGCTTTTCTATTGCCTTGTCAATTAAGTCAACTGAATTAGTGCACGTGTGTAATTGGTTAAATTCTTGAATTTTCTCAGCCTGCAAAGAATATTCTCCTTTCTCCTATCTCCTATATTGCAATCTTATTATTACCTCTTTTGCAAATATTCATGTTTCCATTTATGATTATAAATTACATGGAAGATTTACTTTACTACTCTTTATTTGTTATTTGTCCACTATCCATTTAGCTGAGAATTTCGAATAAATTCGAAAAATCAACATAATTTTATCAATTCCTATTTCATTCTTACCCGCTTGTTACGTAATTTTTAGCGAATGAATTTTTATCAAGAGGAAATTTTGAAAGTCGATTTCTAGGATTGAATCGAAGTCCAATGATAGTGAGGATGGGAGCGCTAGATCAAGCATCAGTGGTCTTGCTCCTCCACCGCATCATCGTGAACACGCGTCGCTTCGGAGAGGACTCTTCAAAAGAAAGGACAAAGTATTTTTGAGTTATTTTATATTTGCACGTGATTTGGTTTCAGTTTTATGTTAGTGATCTTAAATTATCAGATTTATCTGATATTAAACTTTTTAATGAGCACTTTAATAGGAATTCAAATCACTGAATCCTGATGAAAGCGATATTGATTCATCTCCATCTACTTCTCGTACGGTACAACTTACTGATGAAGGTAGCATAATCGGGTCATCATCACCACTCTTGTCATCGCAGTGTGCGAAGAAAAAAAGCGGTGGAAGATTACAGTTCGGTAAATTTTCATCTTGTTATAACTATGAAGGAGATCATGATGCGAAAATAAATTCAATGAAAATTCTTGTTTCTTCGTTTGGGTTTGAAGCTTCTGACAGATGCATTTTGTGTCAATATTTTTCAAATAAAATAAAGAGGCAACGAAGGTAGCATGCAGAAAATTTAGCTAAGACTATTATAGCAGACAGCATCTCAAGTCAGCTATGAGAAATTATTATTTAACATTTTATAGCAATTAATCTCCTAAAATCGGTTCGTGCAGACAATAATGATGACGAATATTCAGATGTTGAGGGAAACGACGATGGAATAAATCAAGTTAGTTTCTTATCAGTCTTGTTGGAGTATTAATTTATTTACTCGTGATTCTAAAAAAAATTTAAACGTAATCAACATTAAACAAAGTAGTGAAACTTATTTTCTGGGAAGAAGATTGTAAGGAAAGAGGAAAAACATGTTGGTTCGCCAAAATCATGGTCCTTTCACCATGGGGGCCATTAAAGACAAAATCTCGGTGGTACCTGGCATCCACTTTTACTTTCTATAAATAACTTGCTAACTCTTAATCTATCTGTTAATGAAGTGCTGATAGAATTGTTATCCTTTTTTTCACATATTCATACTTCCATTTATGATTATAAACTAATAGATTACATTTTTGTTTCTAATTGGCACAACTGGAAACACGCGTTTATCCTGTTACGTTAAAGGATTTATTAAAAGAAGATATATTTTAGGAAGGATTGATCAATGAAGGTGATCGCTTAAGAAGATTCTCATTGCGACAAGCTAATAAGCAACAAATGATGCGGAAGACGCCATCTGATGCAAGCGATAACACTGATATATTAAGAGGTAAAATGTTCGATTAATATCAGCACTGCAGTTCCACTGCAAGTATAATGAATAACAGTTGCAGAAAATAATGCAACAAGACGAACACTAGTAATTCCTTTGAATCTTCCTCCTCGAAAATTGGTGAATTTGTTGGGTATCCAAGAAGGAGTTCGGCGATTTTCGTTTTTTCTTGAAACATGTCGACCAGGTAGTTTTCCTGATCCACATCTTCTTGCTGCTCTATTAGATTTGAAATCACCCGTTTTGGCTCGAGCTGCTCTCATTCTTGAATGTGCCCATTTTGTTCATCGTTGCAATAAAGGTTTTTTAATTTTTCAAAAATAGAAAATATATTATAATATAGTGCACTTGTAATAAATCCAGAGTTTTTTTGGCTCACTTTCTTAATAGATGGATTTTTTTATTATTTTTTTTTATTCTGGAGGAACAAGATAATGCAACAGTGTGAGTCACCATAATTTCGGTTTCTCTTTTTTCAGGAAAATAGCCCTGTTGCCAAAAATAAAATTGGTAGTGATTATTAATTTGTGCTTTCTATCTTCAAGAAAAAGGTCATGAAAAAGAAATTTGAAGTATAAAGTTTCTTTATTGCATTAATCGGTGGTTATTAAAGGAGATTGGCCAGAGTGGATCCGTTCGAGTACAATTCGGCATGTAAGCATGATGGGTTTCAGTGGTGCACTTGGAAACCGTGGAACTCCTAGTGCAACAAGAAGAATGCATATAATGCAGAGGGCTGCAGGGCGATGCTTCTTTTATTGGGGTGTTCAGGTTAAAATTATGAATAAAATTCCATCAAAATTTAAATATTTCAAATACTGAACTCGAAAATCTTTATTCTAACTTCTAAAATTTATTTTGCAACGGTAAATATTCAATTTTTAGATCAATTAATTAATTTAAATTAATTTTAGCTTAATTTTTTGCGACTATTAACATTTGGATTGTAAAAGTAAAAATTAAAAACAAAAAATAAGCGAAAATAAGCGAACAAAAAATAAAATGATTTGCAGGTTTCGAATCGGATTCAAAAACTTTTAGAAAAAAGTGGAATTGTTGTGGGCAAAACTGATATTATTCGGAAAATTGAACTGAATAAACGTGAACTTAATCAGCTCGATGAACTTGAGGATTTTTTTGATGAAGGTTTACCATAAACGTTTCTTTTGCCATTTTGTGATTGTGCCATTTTAAAAAATTTTTCATTTTTTTTCTAAACAAATCTGTTATCATTTTTCCTTGTTTCTTTTTCTCCTTTTTATTTTCTTTGTTAATTATGTTTTTTCATAGCTAATTTCAATAATATTTAAAGGTATAGTGAACGATGAAAGCGGAGAAGCCTGTCCCCCAACTTTACTTCTATTAGCTTGTCTACTTTTAAACGAAATTACTGCGTTTCTTCGAGAGACCTTTCAAGTATCCCTCCTTTTTATACGAAATCTTTATAATGAGTAAAGTGTAAAATACTTGAATGCATAATCAAAATTTATAGGGAATACCTCGCGCACGGCCTAGTAAAGCAACTGTGGGCTGGGAAAAGTTAATATCACATCGGCGTTGGTCTATTTTATCAAATATCTTTAATTCACAACAGCAAGGTATATTCATTCATTTTCAGAGTAACTTGGGATGCAATGTAGTTCTCAATGCATCATAATTGCCATTCCGGTTGCAAAAAATGATGATCGAGAGAATTCTTTTTTCAGCTCGATTTTTTAAAATTTTTTTTGATAGCAAATCAAGGATAAAATACTTGTTAATGCTTTTTTCCTTACAACTTATTTTCATTTGTTACGAAGAATAGTGAATGAAATTTTTAGAAGGTGATCGCCGGATTAGTTTATCGACGAATGAAGAAGATTCATCCCGAGAATCCCATGAAAATATGGAGGAAGCATATTCAAGCGATAAGAGAGGTAAAAATATATTTTTTTCTCTAAAATGGAGAAAAAATTGACAGCAGTTTGATAATAATGAGTCCTTTTAAGCAAACCTGGCATGTTATTTGAATTTTAGATTTTTGAAGATCTATTCTCCGAACATTTTATTGCTATACCGTTCTCTAATGAGGCACTTCTCGTTTTAGATATTTTAACTTATAATTTATTTTCATCTCTCTTACTTTTACCGTACTTCCATCATCAGTGTTCTTCCTTAAATCTTCTTTTCCGCTCAGTTCATTCGAGTTTTTCAGCTTTTTTTTCGCTTCTATTTTTTAGAAATTTTGCATTTCACTTTTTATCATTGCACGATCATTATCAATCGAACGTTAGTTAGACAAAATTTCTAAAATTCAAAAAATCAGTAAAAACCATGGAGTAATTTTGCATGAAGTAATCGTGCTATAAATAATTCTTTATTTATAGATTTTTATTGTGATTCCAAGTGAAATTTTGTAACTGTATTTAACATTTAGTAATAGATAAAAAATCAGTAAATAAAGAATTAGGTAAATGAAATAAAAAGAGACAAAATTACATAAATATATAGAAAGAAACTGCGAAAAATATAGTAATATATTATTGACAACCAACAGTTTTAACCGTTTAGTTATAACTATAACTGTGTAGCCAGTATTATGATTGATTATTTGCTTATAGGTCTCTATGCGATCCCTTTTATTTGCATTTTTTTGTAAAAAAATTTCGTAGTACAGGCATTGCTTCACATTATTCACATCGCTTCGGCAGTGCTGTTCGTTTAGCTAAACGTAGTCATTCATCGCATCAAGCGAACTCTAATGAACGAATTGACAGTACATTTTCGCCGATCAGATCAAAAAGTGCAGGTCATAATTATGTTGCAACAGCTCAAGCTGTGGTCAGTGCAGTCGCATCTGCAGTTGTTTTTGAACCAGGTTCTCAATTGGCTTAGTGGTTTCTTTCTGCTTGTCATTCCAAGAGAACTTATTTTTCTTCAGCTTGGATGCATGTTTCCATATATTTCTTTATTTATTAAGCATGTTGATGCATTGGTATGTTCAAAATTTGTTGATAACTGCTATTTTTAAAAGGATTTTCTCACAGTTGTATAATTATTTATAATTTCAATTAAAGATTAAAGATTAGCAGGAAAATTTGAAATTTTGGGAAAAGGCCTTCTTTACTATGATTTGTTTTAGGCTATTTTTGCATAATCTTTACTTACTTCAGTGTAACTTTTTCTCTTTTTTGAAAACAATATATTTTATAAAGATAAATTTTCGTTTAATTTGCAACCAAAATTACATTTAATATATTTGTTTTTAAGCTTGTGGTTTACCATAAATAGAAAGTTTATGTCATTTCAAATGAACGATGCAAAATTTACCGAAAAATGGTCACCTGGTCAGGCAAAGAAATCATTTTTTTCCTCATTTTGGTCAGGAAATGATTAGTCAATCTCGGTAATCTTGTTAATATATAAAATTCCTTCTTAAACGGTCCGGTTATTGCATTATAATAATTATATATTCATGAGCGCATGCGAGAACGTGCAGTTTTCTCTATTTTTCGCTTAATTTTTTTCTCATGCTCTAAAATTTGCATGCAGGAAATGCATGGCTTAAAATGATATTAAATAGCAATATTACATTTGATTTCGCCTATCTCTTTAGAAAAATAAATGCACTCGATTTTGTCTCTATAATCCCTTCGGAAAGGTTTTCCTTCCAGTAGCCTAAAGCTTTCGATAAGATTGTGAAAAAAATTTATCAATATAAAATAGATTACACTACAGCCGAGTAAGTACTATTTGAAATGTCATCTCAATTATCATGGTTCGAACCTTAATGTTGACAGGAGTAAACCCAATTAAAAGTGAAGATCTGGTAAGTGGTGTTGGAAAGACATTTAATTCTGTTCCCAAATGAGCTTTGTTAAAGCATCTTATCCTTATACCCATATAATCATCTGATCGTCAGCCAGTACGCGAATCTACCAGATAAGACGAGCGTTGTTGAAGAATTATATGAACGAATGAAAATGCATATATAGAAATGATGCTGAAAATAATTATTTTAACCGTATAAATTTAACCATAATTTCTTTTAATTATTGCACATATTTGGCAATTTTCCCTATACAACATAAACGCTATATTCGCGAAGAAATATTATCATCGAGTTTTTTATCGCCCTTTTCGCTTGATGATTTATTTATTTTTTGTCACAACAATACTAGAAAGATAATTTAATTTGCTAATTTAAAAGATAATTTAATTTAATAATTTAATACAGATAATTTAATCTAAATGCCAAAAACGGAAATTTTAGGGATAATAGGGAAAATCTCGCGTTTATAATGCGTTTATGTCGTAACTTTTACGAAAAGAGACTTCACAGAGATTTCACAGTTCTTATCGAATGAAATGAAAGTTGTTTAGATTCAGCCATTATTTAATCTGTTCTCACTTAACACAGAATGAAGAATGAGAAAAAACAAATAAAATAATTATGGATTGATTGAATAAATGAATGTGAATGGATGGATTACATCGTTTTTTTTGATAGTTCGCATTGATATATTTCATTAAAAATATTTTTATGAAACGGTAAAATTGAGGTAATTTTTAGCACGTCGACTTGCCCAAGGAAGACAACGTTTACTTAAGAAAGGATCACCATCTGGACAGTTTGAATCATTCAGTGGTAAAAGGAAGTCATCAGTGAAGTAAATAGTCAAAATGAATTGTATGAAAATTGTAAGAGAATGAATGGCACTTTTTCACATGATTATTTTAGCAAAAAATGCGGCATTAACTTCATATGAACCTATTTCTATTTTGCCGAAATATTTTTGAAAATTTAATGTGGTAGATTTATTTTCAGACTTCGAAAACATTCTCGATTCCATGATGCTGTCGAGTCATCAGTAGATCCTGAAAAAAGTAAAAATGAAACAGGTTTGCAAATCATTTATTTTGAATCCTTTTCGAGAAAAGTTAATCATGCTTCGAGAATAAAGAAAAATCACCGGCCTGATGCTCTGGTGATATAGCCATTTTTGAGACAGAATATTCCAGTGAACATGGAGAATGATTTTTGTCATTGATATTTTCCAATGCTATCGAAGTTCTGCTCGTTAAATCTCATTTCCTCGAAGATATGATATTCTTTACATAATGCACATGAAACCGCATTTTTCAAGATTTTTATGCACTTGACATTTCAACATATTGCAGCTTTTTTATTGTCAAAAGTAGAACATATCGGAATCATATTTCTGGTGATTATTCTTTGGCTAATTTTCCAGTAATTTTTGATTTTTGCTGTGGTCTTTGATTTTTGATTAAAAAATTGCTTAGAACTTTTTTTTGTTATTTTCTGGACAAATTAAGAATGAATTGATTCTTATGAGCTTTAGAATTCTTTCTCTTTCCAATCTATTAATTTATTATCAAATTTGCCCATTAAGTTGCTTTACTTGAACATTCCCAATAGTTATAAAAAAATCCTTATCACCGAGCAATTGGGGCAGCAATTCAAAGTTTTGCGGACATCATAAATATTTTCCGAAATCGTTGAAACATTCAGTGAAAATCTAGTTATTTCGGAACAACACCATTATAAAACGACTGACTGGATAAAGCGACGTGCAACATCGATGCGCTTGCCTAGTTGGAAATTCCGTTTACCGGCACATAAGGCGAATGCTGGAGATAGTGGAGGATTTCTGATTCGTGAAGGTATTAAAAAAATATAGAAAATTTTCAAAAAATAATATTTTTCATAGAATTAAATAAATAATTCACGGAATTCGTCGTTTCATCATTTTTTTTATTGCATTCATTTCTAACTCACATTTTTGGATCACACAAATCTAACATTTTTCTTCGTTTTTTTAGGTTCAAATTTAGTTGAATGCATTTTTTTTAAGTTCGATCATACATTCTCTATAGTCTATAGCCCAATAGAATAGGAAATATTTATTTTTTTAAAATCTAATTCTTAATTCTCTTTTATTCACAGAAGCTGTCTGCTATTTTGGATTACTTAAATTTAAACGTGATGCACTTGGTTATGAATGACTCTTCCCAGAAATATCCAGTATATTGATAGGGAAAATATGGAGCATTTCTGAAGGGGACGAGGAAAACATGGCCGATATTTTGAGACGTTGTCATGGATGCATGTGGTATCAAAGCGAAAATGGACTGGGAATTTGTGGAATGCAATTTAAGCGGTCATGGTCAGAAATGGACGCATTCTGATATGATATATTTCACTCGTACTTACCATATTTGCGAAGAGTTCTGTTTCCCAATGCTCTGTGTTGATTTGTCCTTCTTCTGTATATCGACAAACAGTATTCGATATCCAGTAACCAATTGTGTTAAATATGACCTCTATACATACCAGATATTTCAAAGCGTCAAGTCGTTCCTTATATACATTCATAGAGAATAAAATGGCTTAAAGTAAACAAGTGCACAAGCACGATCATCTTATTAGGAACGCCGGAGAGTAAATCTATCGAATCAAAAGTAAGTAATCAAAATTAAAGTCGATGATGCACATGGTGCACATTTGTCTAAAAGTGACATAAAGAGATGACTTTTTTCGCGTGGGAATTCTCGACTAAATTTGACTTGATTATGATGCGTATTGTTTTCACGTACTGCCACAAATATAAAAGGTTATGCAGATTGAGGTGGAATCTTAGTTGATTTGAATTTTTTCTTAATTATCACTAATACATTTTTTCTTCCATTCTCCTTTTTCCATTTCCTTACATAATTTAAACAGTAAATAAATGAAAGCTATATGCCATAATTATAAAATTATTGTTTTCCTTGACGGAACTAAAACACTTTTCATTAAAACTTAAGTCCGAGTGGCTAGGAGAGATTCTTCTCCGTCCGATCTCTAGAGAACTGCAACGAAATGGCAACTCTCGGCAACTCTCCTTTCAAACCACTCTTCACTTCATGGTAATTCACTATTTAAATAATTTTTACTTGGTTTGCTTCTTTCCTTAACGCAAGAAATGCTGAGGAATTCATCAAATTCTGATTCGGTATAGTTGATTTTTTTTAGAAAATGAACATAGCAATAACAATTATTAATTTACTGCATTATAGGATTCATTAGTAATTACTTCGAATTCTTTCTGAAATAAAAGGACATCTCGATTTACTCCAATATTTACTGGTGGATTAATTGAGGTAACTGGCTAAATGATAATAAACTCAAAATAAACTCCATTAATAATTGTTTAATCGTTCATCCGATAATATAGTGAAGTAATATGTTGAGAAATATATTGAGAATCTCTTGAACATTGATATTGAAAAGTGATGAAGATTTAGCAGATTCCTATAAACTCCTATAAAAATTAAGAATTCGTTTCTCATGAATTCGTTTTACGTGCAAAATTAACGACAAGACAATTTAATGCAAAGAATTTAAGTTTCAATTATTGTTTACTATGCAATTTTTGTTTGCGTGAATATTATGAAAATGAGATTGTATGGTTATCGAAAAAAAACTCGAATCGAGCGAATCGGTTCTGAAATAAATTGATAAATATTACTTCTCCTCCAGGCAAACTGTTATTGACAACTGCTCCCAAAATGTGGCTGAATATATGCAAATTTTCCCAATTATTTATTCTTTCATCTGATTTCTATTTTCAGTGGCTTTTTTTCATTTTAAGCCATCTTTAATTTTTTCACAAATTTATTTCGCTAACTGGATTTAATCCTGTATACTCTTTTTAAAATACATATTGCATAGCTGGAATGTTGAAGAAGGTCGAACTTTTTTTTGCATGGCGCATGATGATAAATTTATGAATTCGATTCGTTAGAAACGTTTTCCGCCTTCTTTCATTTCTGTTTTTAACTGCAAATAAAAGTCGGAGAGCATTCTAATTCATATCAATATCAATATCGAAATCGAACAACATTAATTCAATTTTCATATGGGCTAACAAGATTTTGCTCGTTTTTCAAGATTTAGAAACTTTCAAAAATTCCTGCATGTTCACTCATTAATTAGTTCTTAGAAGGATAATGAAAAATTGTAACATCGACTTTTTCACTCATTAAATTTAACTGTATTAATTTGAGATAATTACATAGCTGTAGCGCTTCTTGAAACCAACCCAACATCTGCAGCATCGAAAGATGTCTCGAAACCGATAGCTTCGCGAATAAGTGACGACGAGGTCGGGTCATCGTTTGAACAAGTCCGGTCTGACAAGGGTTCTGCGCCGTCATCAACACAAGGAAGTACTTCGAAACGGAATGTACCACTTAACCAGCCAACCAGTATTAGCTGTGAAGAAACTAATGATGAGGAACTAATGTTGCGGCATTTGCCTTGGACGAAAGTTGGTCTATTTGTTTACCACATTTTTGTTTGTTTCATTTGGAAAATTTTTGCCTATCTTCCAGTTTTTCAATTCAATTCAATTCAGGTTATAATAACCTTATTGAACTCTATGAATTTAAATTGTAATCATGAGCACTATTGTCATCCAAGATGTTTCGAAAGAGTATATCGTCAGTGCTGTCGTTTAACTGAAGCATTACGGAAAGTTTATGGCGAGGATTTGTCGATGGAAGGACGAATTGATAAGCGAAAAGTCATAATTGATGCATGGAATAGCTGGCAAGAAGATAAACGGCGAGCAAGTTTTATGCTTTCTTTACTTCTTAATCCTCTTTTTTACTGAACACTAAGAATGGATTCAGTCAGCATTTATTCGTCTAAAAAACAGTTCTCTTCCAGTCAACGCATCGTCATTCGACGGTGCTACCTCGTCGAGAAAGTGCTGCTGTACGGCAAGCTGCAACATTGGACAAAACATCAATGGCACTTAGGAGTCTTTTAATGGAGAAATTGGCCGAGATTGAAGAAAACAAAGAATGGAGATCTAAAGTTCATCAAGTAAGCGAAATTTTGCAGTAAAAAACTACTGTGACTTACCAAATAAGTTTCTTAAATCACTGAAATGACCAATAGATTTAAAATCATTTTTTACCTTGCACTTTGAATTTATGAATTCTGAAGGATTGGACCTCGATTGTGTTGAAATTTACGTATGTACATATCAAAAACACAAGGATTAGCATGAAACATTTGATTTTTTTAACAACCATTTCTAATTTGATCTCCTTCTTCTAATACCTCTTACCATTACCTCTAACGGCTACAAGGGTAAGACGCTTCCAAGCAGCGCGATCTGATGCTATCGTCGACAATAATAGAAGTCATTCCTTTTTCCATCGTCTAAGTCCATATATTGCTGGTCCACTTATACATTCAAAATCTTTTCCAATCATATCAATCCAGGTATTACTCGCTTTTGATGCCATCCATCACACGGTTTAGCAAGTAATAAAATATGCGACAACTACTGTGGTGGACGACGGAGAATGTGCCCTAACATCGACGATCTATGATAACATTATTAATGCAAGTGGTATTTGAACGATGGATGCGATCATGTGATGTTTTATCCACTCGATGGACCCGCAAAATGTACCTTAGACAAGATGGTCAAAGGTAGAAAGTTTCTTAAAATCCTTCACTCTCATTGGCCATGTCTCAGAGCCATATAAAAAGATCGAAAGAATCACGGCTGAATAGATGCGGACTTTCGTTTTTATGGTAGTTTCATGACTATAAAGGTTCCATAAAAGTTTAAACCGGAAGAATTTTTTTTTAGCTGCCATGATTCGAGTTATAATATCATCTTTTGCTTGGCCATTTGGTATTGGAGTGAACCCAAAGTATTTGAAATCTGGCACTTCCTCAACCGGCAATGAATTTACAAAAAGAGGCATTTTATCAGCTTCTTGCACATAAGACGAAAAGGCTTTCGTTTCGAAGTAATCTGTCAGTTCCCCATATACTCAGACCTGCGCCGGCATACGCTAATAAAATGCCTTTGTGAGAAGAATCTCTGGAGCACTGCTGCCATCACCCTCCAAAGCACCGTTCTATCAGTTTAATCAAAAGCAATCGCAAAATCGATGAAACACGTAACAGGGGGTTGCGAATATCTGAAGCGATGTTCCAACACCCTTCTTGATAATAGCTGATCAGCATCATCGCAGCTCTATCTGAATCCAGTTTGATTAAGGCGCATCCTGCTCTCCCGTACTTCCATAATTCTGTTGAAAAGGGAAGCAAAAATTTTCGCTGAGGCGTCTAATAGGCTGATTCCTAGATAATTGTCGCAGTCCTATCACCCTTCTTGAGAATTGGGAGCAGAATTGCTTCGCTCCAATCATCTGGTAATAATTCTTTTCCCAAGAGAATAAATTTGTTGAAGGTGCGTTATAAAGGATGGACAACATACAACGCACGTTTGAAGAGCACGAAGACCATCTTCTTTTCAAATCTTATTGGCCTTAAGTTTATGGACAACTGAGATTATTTCTTCTTCTGTTGGAGGCTCACAATTTCAAACATATGGTTCAGCGATCGTATCAGTTATATCAGGGGCAACAGATGGCGTTTCATGGCTAACAGTTTGACAATTCCGATGCCCAATTAGCGCATTTCCTACTACTATGCCCTAGCGTGGAAGTGGCTGACTTTTGAAGACATTCCTTTAATTTGGCCAAGTATTTACCATTCCAGAAAAGTCATTGATATTTCTATCATTGAGATCCAATAATTCGGTTTGAAATGTGCTCACTGTCCTCGAATTTTTTAACTTGAGATAGTTGGAGGATTTTGGGGGATGCTGTTTTCTGCGAATTGTCAATTTTATGGGGATCTTGGCTTGAACCATAACATGGTCAGATTCATGAAAATTGCTCGTTTCATTTCCGCGACTATCTAGTACTGAACTCTTCCGTCTGCCCCTGACTAAGATATAATCAATCTGGTTGAAGTTTAGTTATCCGAAGAGTTCCACGTGATTAGATGTTTTCTATAATGATGGAAGCAAATATTAGTAACAAAAAGTTCATGCTCTTCGGCATAACGAAGAAGGCATTCCCCATTGGGGCACCGGTCTCCGATGCCATATTTGCCAATTGTAGAGGTCATCGCAGCCGCATTATGACCTACGAGCGCATTCCAGTCTCACTCGACTATGACCATATCATGTTTCGATAGAGACTTTGTTAGCAGCTGAAGTTCCGCATAGAACTTATCTTTATTCCGGTCATCTGCCGACAGAGTTAGAGCATAGAGATTGAGCATAGAGACACTGATGACCAAGATATTGCAGATCTTACCCTTAAAACTGGCATAGGCCATACGGTTGTTAACCGGTTTCCACTCAATCAAAGGGAAATGGGCCTTGTCAGGCATGACAATCGCTACGCCATTTCGTCCCGAGTTATTCGAACCACCACAGTGATATAGCCAGTATCTCTGCTCTGAACCAGGATTAATAATTGCTCGAGACCCAAAGTGAAGAAAACGGATCTTCGACAAGCAAGCGATATCATACACGATAATTACACAGGGTGTGGACAATGATCGTTTGGCTTGCAACGTCCATAAAAGTTCTGACGTTCCACGCTGATACGGCTAATACCTCGTTGCATTTGCAGAGGGCTATTTCCCTTGATAGGTTTCAAGCAATTAGCCTGACTTGCGAGCATATTTTATTTATCAGTCTTGGGATCGCTTTAGGCTCGGATTGTGCACTTATCGCATGTACCACCGAACTGGGAATATCATGCGAGTCGGAAGACGCGGACATCGTATCAAAAATATTTAACCCCTTCACCACAGAGTCGCTTGGGGACAGAAGTACAGGTAGGACCCTAGCAACCATCCGGATTTTTAACACGTCCTGCCGAAAATAATTATTTTGAGATTATTTATTTTATAGTATTATAAGTTTTACATATACATATATATTATTTAAAAATTCTATTTGAATTTAGGAAAAGAGAAAAGAAAAAAAACATAGCTCGTTTGAAAAGGAGATTTTGAAAAAGAAAATATTTCACAATAATAGCTTAAAAATAATTGATTTGGGTCAGAGCGAATAAACGAACCGACCGACAATAATTTTTGATTTGATCGGCTTTTAGGAATAGATTTTTTCTCTATAAAAAGCCACTTGAGGACGTAATTAGAGAGATTTAAAAAAGTCCCAGAGATCATTTGAAGTTTTAGTGATAGATCAAGAAGTAACTCATGATGCTTAGTTTCAGCTGAAGCATTTTAATACTCGGCCATCTAGGCTATATATTTGATTTATCATCGAATTATTCACTGGTTCTCTGATATTTATTTTTGCAGTGCTATGTTTCCAAAAGTCTTTTATCTTTTATCTTTAGGATTCGGATGACCTAATCGAAGCGAAACAGTTGCAGTCACGTCCACGAATTGATCCAGTGCTTTTATACATACGTACTCAAATGTTATGCATTGCTCATGCTCCACTTTCCACACTTTTGAAAAGTTGTTTAACATTTAGCCAAACTCAATTCAAAGAGACGTTAACTATATCATGGTACTTGCTGACCCATAAGGACCCTCATATCGCCATTGCTGCAGGTTTCTCTCTTATTCTCATAAAATTTTAATATGATTTTAATATTATTGATGATGAAAGTAATTAATTTTTTGCTGCATGTAACGAAATCCTTCGTTATCTTTGTGTTACCATTTAAGCATCGATGTTTATCGTAACATCGATTCGCCGTCCCGAAGATATATTGGCAATAATGCATCGGGATATGTCACATGAAGATCCTAATGTACGAACTGCTTCCATAAGACGCTTTCATATACTTTGGCGAAGTCGTTTTTACGTGTGGCTAAAGCTAGAAGACGGTGCTCAAACGAATCTCAAGGTATCGTATTGTAATAAAATTAAATTTCGTTTCGTTGAATAAGTCTTAATCTTCAGGTGCCACCTCCAAGCATTGATTTTACGTTACCATCGCCCTCAATTGGACAAAGTCAAGTCGCGATCGTTGATCCACCATGGATGCCACACATCAAGACTAAGGTTGAAGAACTTACACTCAAGGAGGAAGAACAGGCCACTGTAAGCGTACCATTCAATATTTTCTCCATTCATTGTTGAACCACAGAAATTTCAACAAACAATTGATATTTATAATTTCAACGATTTTAAATTTTGAAGAGTCAGACCATAATGACAATGACAAGAACAAGACGTAAACAAAAGCAAGAAATGGTTAAACGTGCTGTACATGAAGCTGATGAAAGACAGAGCACTTTAAGACAGAAATTTGTATTTCGGGCAATTCCTATCTTACAACAAGCAGCTTATGAGCCTTCTTTATTTCATCATCAGATCAATCTCCAACAAATTCAAAGCGATGGATCAGCAGAAGGTTTTCAGTATTAATAGTATTCACTCCAGAGAGTCGCTGAGGGTAGCAAAATTAAAGGATCTTTAACGCCAAATAGAATTCATACTTAATAACAGGTTTCCCCTCATAGAATCAGATTGTTTGGTCCTAATCAAAACAACATGCCATTCAATCATTCTATCCCAGAATAAGTTTTATGCTGGTAGTAAAATTTAATTTTGAGCCAAGAATTTTAATTGGGTTGTTTTGTTTGTGATTTGTTCTTATTATGGTTTTTTTTTGTTGATTTTTTTTTATTTGTTTTTTTTTTGATTTTTGGTTAGTGATTTTTTGGTTGGTTATGGTTGAGAATTAGTTTTTGTTTTTATAAATTTTCCTTTGGGTTTGGTTTTTATAGTTAAGTATTTTGTTTTATCTTTTTTTAGTGGGTTTTTTTTAGTTTTTTTTTTTATTTTGTTTTTTAAATTAGTCTTGAATTTTTCTATTGTTGATCCCGTTCGATAATAGCTAGTTCGATAGTATTTTCAAATATCCCATTTTTTTTTGGCAGAAGTTTTTTAATTATTTTATGATGATTTCAAGAATGTAAGTTACTTATTAAACATATTCTGTTGAAAAGCAAGGGCTCGGCCCCTGCCCTCGGCAATAAACCTGTAATTAAGAAATCATGTGGTGCCACCGATACATATATTCAGCTCTGATATTTTTATCGCCCATTTTTTCTATGGCAAATTTCTCTAAACTGCATTTATAGCCTGTGGAACTAATCTAATGTGCCGAGTACTAGCCATTTTTTCATTTATTTTTCTCCTATCAACATTTATTATTTAACTGCTCTACTCCCTTATAATTTTTTTTTTATTTATAAGCCATCGTTATTCTAAAATTTTTTGAATCTTGTTGTAGAAGGCGAAATGCATCCATTATCTCGTCAACAGTTGCCAGTTGCACAACCACTGTTTCCATCAGCCATACTTACAGTTGTGCCAAAAATTATTGAAATGCTTGATGATGTGGCAGTCGATTCAGATGGAATATCTGGCAAGTGTTTAGTTATATTTAGTTATATTTCAGATGTAGATCTGAGACTAAATTTAACTAAATTCCTTGTAATTTGCGCAATTTTTTATAGTTTACGATGTTGCAAAAAAGATCATATGGTCGTGTATAGTTGAGGATCCAGCTTTATTTCTTCGCCATTTTTTAGAAAAATTGACAAATCGAGATCGACAAGTATGTTTGTTTAAGCTTTTCTTTCTTTTTCATTTTTTGTGAATGGTTCTTCCTCCACATTTGCCTTTTTGTTGTTGCAATGGAATGGGTTTTGTTGTATAACGAGAATTCAAGATGTTTTGTATTTTATCCTTTTTCATTGGGACAGATTTTTCGAATGATTTTCTGCGTAGACTTAGCGTAGATATGTTGCATTCAAAATAAAAGTCTAATATTTACTAAAATCTTAACTTACACTAATAATTTTCATCTTGGTTCAATGCTTTTTTGTCTCATTTTTTTGAAAAATTTAGCCTGAATGTATTAATTTCACTGATTTCGAAAAAATTAATGCTTCACAACTCAATTTACTTTTTTATTTATAAAATACAGTTTGGTAATATTGAAACCAGCAATATGCACTGGTAATATGCATGTAATTTTTCATGCTGTAAAATAATTAATTAATAATAGTTAATTAATAATTAATTAAATAAAGAACGAAATGTAAAATAGTTCTGTTGTAATTTAGTCGTCCACTTTTGAATTTCGAATCTCAAGCAATCAGTGGGTTAGCTATTTTAAATATATATATTTATATGTATATAATGTAATTTTGATTGATCGATGTCCGAATAATTTTTCACGCAAAATATTTTGTCGATGTTCACTTAAATCCTAATTAAATTAAATAAAACAAAATTAATATTTTTAGATGTCGGCATGATTTAACTAATGGGTAAGATTAATCTGATCTGGTTAGGCTGGTGCTGCTGACTATTAGGTTGGGAGACTTTCGCCTAAGAGTCATTTGAGAACAAAAATCTGCGTGAGTTACTAGATCGAACGAACTTTTTAATCAAAGATTTATTTCTGCCAGCGATTTTCTATGAGCAGCAGAACCATGATGCTTAAAGTGGCAATCTATGCAACACACCATATAACGTGAGAAATTTATAAAAAATAACACAGATTATAGACCGCCGGACATGATGGAAAGATGGAATTATAGCAGCTGTTAATTTTTTTTTTGCGAATTCAAAGATGTGGTTATAAATAACTACGTGACCTGTCCTTCATTTTCCTTTAAAATGGTTAGGGCTTACTACGTCTTAGGCTAACTCCATTGGATTTAGTATGGTTAGGAATTTTTTGCTGAATAGAAGTGGAGGCGAATTACCAGCAACATTCGAATTTTTTAATAGTAGACTTATTTTTGCCACGCTAAGGAGAACGAATCTATGATGCAAAGCGAAGAACGAGGCTATTCTTTTTCAATTGTTTAATAAAATTATGCATTAAATTATAATTAAATGACTGCTTTGCTTACATAGTTAACATATATTCTTCACTGATTGCGAGTGAATAGTTCAGTGGAGAATGAATTCATTCTTTATAACTGTATTTCTGCAAAAAAATTATGGACTTAGACGATGGGAAAAGGAACGGCTTCTATTACTATCTACGATGGCATCAAACCGCGCCGCTTGGAAGCGTCTTACCCTTATAGCCGCTGGAGCCAGCCCAACCAGTAATGGTGAGAGCTGTTAGAAGAAGACGAACTGTACTTTTGCATGCATTAGACACAATATGTACTAAATATCAAATTGTTTAGCTTTTTCAACGTGGTCTGATTATTTCATTACATTATTATTTCTAGGAATATCTGATTTCATTGCTAAAAAAATTGGTTATTATGTTTAGTCCGTTGCCAAATCAATCAGCTTATTCGCTATTAAATTATTTGGTATTTCTAATTTTTTATTTTTTATTGTTAACAAAATATTACTAAATTTAAATTTTCACTGGAAAGATTTTTCATTTTACCAAAAATCTTACGTCTTTCATGCGATTATTCATTACGTAATGGAAGTGATAGAGGAGTAGGATTAATTTTAAGTCTAATTTGCCTATTAGTCATGAATGATAAAGTATTTTAGTTCGGATTTGTTATGTATTATGTGCGAAGTCCCTGTGATGGAAGTGATAAAGCAATAGGAATGGCTTTAAGTTTAATTTGGCTCATTGCTCCTGATGTTCATGGACTTTATTTTAAAGATATGAAGCAAACTTTGAAGAAAGAACAATGTGATGTTAGAATTTTCAAAAATTTTCAAACAAATGAATAAAGCAGTGATACTACTCGTTAATCATTTAAAGTGATTTAGATAAAAGATACAAAAATATTTAAATATTCAACTCTACTTTTTAAAATGTATTAAATGGTTAGCACTCACCATTTCTGGTTAAACTCACTCTGCATGCCAACATTGAGGATAAAAGTGCATTCGGCTTCACGACTCCACTATCTTGGCTTTTAGTAGCAAGTTTACTCCCAAAAGGAATTTCAAGTAATGGATATCAAAATAATAAGGAACGTAAAAGAACAAATGGAATAAATTAAGCAGTTAGTAAGTCTATTAATATATTCTTCTATTTCAGCAAGCATTGATGATAACAGCCAACGTTCCTTCTGCCAAAAAAATAATTGTGCATGGGCCAGATTGTGGTAATGGTGGTATTCCGTCACAGTTTCCAATTCACGAAGACACACAGTTTCAACAGATTCTCACCGATAGTCTCGAATTTTTTAACATTCCTGAAAATGAAATTGATTGCTATTTTCTAGTTGATACCAAAACAAATCTAGTACATATGCCTTTTTCTTATGTTCGGTGAGCTTTGTGAAGTTGCAATATTTTTACTGGGGTACCTTTATTCCTAATCATTTAACCACTTGTGGCGAGATTCTGATTCATTTGCGAAATCAAATGAATTAACAAGTAAAATTAGATCTTTATAGATATTCCCAAAATGAAAAAATTTAATGGTTGATATTCTAGTGCATTTCTTTTCAGAGATTTCTACTTTTTTCACCGATCGTTTTATCCACAATTGACACTTATCAAAATGGAGAAAAACGAAGCTGAGTTTCGCATGAGAACTACGGCACTCACTCAAAAATTCATTGAGATCGGCAAAGTTCTCTTAACGCATAATGCCCTTAGCCATAGCCCTGAAAATGTGGTTCGCATTTCTGCTAATGTTTTTATAGATTCTAATTTATTGTTAAATAAATGAAGACTATTACTAAATTTTCTAACTTTAATGTGAAAACACTTATTTTTTAAACAATTTCGAAAATATTGTATGGGGTATACGGGGAATAACTTAAATGTGAGAAATGTCTGTAATATCACCACATTCAATTTTGGTTTTTAATAGTTTAGGCTTACTCCTGTCAAGGACAGGAGATGATTGAAAACACGGCTCTTCTACTTGGAACAGGACATATTCAATATGCTAGTGTTCAATATGCTTTTTGGATTGATAAAATTTCATGTTTTTTTAACTGATTACGAAACGTAAAAGTAGCATTTCCTAGATTCCACAGAGAATTTTTTTTCTTCACGATGAGTTCACGCATTTACCATCATTTCCTCGCAAAAGTCTTGAAACATGTTTTGGAATGTACAATGGACTAATGGGACCCGAACTGCATGCGATGGACACCATACATAAATTCGTTTGGGCACAGGTACTGCTACCATATTCATATTTTTACGATTTTATTCACAGTTTTCCTAATTATAAAATTAATAGCAGCCTGAAATGTGGTGCGATTGGCAAAATTTTCTTTTCTTAGTTTTTAAAAATTTGCCTCAATTTAAGAAATCAAATCTTTAAATCCTTGAGTGAAGTAAGTAAATGGTTACCTAACCATTTCCCTATAGCTAAATCAGCTATTGCAAAGTCACTTGACAGTAAAAATGTATATGAATATCTGAATTTTTTAATGAAATGTTTACTTCTGCTATGCCAAAAGATCGAACCTGTAATGCTTGTGGTGAATCGAAGCAACCATATTGCTCGACCATTCCTGCTTTTAGTACTTCTTGAAACTTATACTTAAATTCCCTTATTTATTGAAAAATTTTATTTTATAGCTCGTCTCCGATATGTTCGAAAGAATGGAAAATGCGTTTATATTTGGTGATTTACATCTTTTCATAAATGTTATAAACGGAATAATGCTTATGCACTGTGAAGAAGTGACAATCTTACGAAGATGTATGGCCACGTACTTATCAATGGCAATTCATTTTAATACGCTTTTTGCTAATCAGGTGAATCGTCCAGTTCCAATAAATCCTATTCGATTTCTATAGCCAAGTTCTGTTCTGAAACATTCATTATTTTGCAGGGATTCTTTCTTATAATGCCAACGATACTTCGTTGTTATAGTCAAAGACAAACGAACAGTCTTTTATGCCGTACTATCGAATTTGTTTGTAAACAATTTTATATATTACATCGCAAGCCTTTTTTCCTACAAATGGCTGGGTCCGTTGCGAACATTCTGGATATAAATGATAACGATTTTGAAATTAATCTTTCCAAGGTGCCACTCATATTTAACACCGTTTTTCCTTTATCAATAGTTTTTTATCAGTTTTTTCGTCGTTTTTGTAGTATTGGAAAACTTGGAGAGCTCATAGCTCATATTTCGATAGATATATTTTCAGATTAAAGCTAAATACTGGTTCAGCCTCATAAGAAGTATGGAAGACATGTCAGACTTGCACGATTTTCTGGATATTCTTGGACTTGTTAATGAAGCGAAACCATTAAAAGTAATTTTTCTAAGTTTAAAAAGACAAGTTTAAAAACGTTTTGCAAGATTCACTGCTGGCTTTTTGATCAAAAAATATTTGTATAGTTTTCAGGCTATCGATTTATGCTATCGTGATGATCCAAATACTTTTAGTATTCTCACTGATGGTTTGGCAAGTTGTGTTACAGTTTGTGCCTTTGCTCCTGAATCAAGACGATCTTATCAAATGCTGGTTATCCTTTTTTTTTCGAATTTACTTACTGTAAAACTAATTTGAATCATTCATCGACAACAAATAAAAAAAATTAATAGTTTAAATCTTTCTTTCCTTCAAAAATAGATTTTTCATTGTTCATTATTATTATTCATATTATTATATTATTCATTTATTGAAAGAGGGCTCAATTTTGAATCCAGTACCGGCTAAGGAGACTCCACTGACTATAAAGATAAGATGTTTCCAGTTTTCCTTGCCATTTCTGGAAGCAATAAAAGCCACTCATTTTCCATCGTTTTAGTTCATATACTTTGGGTCTATGCGTTCAAAATATGATAATTTAACTGTATCAGTCAGGTCCTCCTCTTATTTGATGCTTCCCATCACAGGGCTTAGCTAGTGGCGATATGTGCATTAGCTTTCATGATGCTATGACGAACGGCATTTAGGATTTGTCACTATGTTCCGAATATATTGCAAACTTTTTGAGTGCTCTTAAGCGGTAGTATAGCCATGAAAATTATAAGGAAAAAAAAATCAGTAGAATAAAAAGATTCTTCTATTCTTATTTCGAGTGGATTTAACAGTTCACCATACATACAAATTTATATTACTAATGTACTAATGTGTAACGGCAAAAAACAATACACCAATTGCTTATGGCACTAAAAAATATGTATTACGTATATTGTGTTAAAAGATATTGGAGTGATGATCATATGGACTATTTTTCAGTTAATAATGCAAGCCACGATTCCCTATTACATAGATCACATGGAGAAAGAGACTTCGGCTCAAAGCAATTCTACTTCGGCTGTAAAGCATGAGATTGCTTTTTATGCAACATTGTGTGTGGAAATGAAAGCACTTGTAACATGTTGTGAAATTCTTGCCAGGTTATTTCTTTTACTTTAATTCAATTGAGTTTAAGAGTTAGAAATTCAAATTAATCGATTCATCTTTATGCAATAGCACAACAATTAAATATTATTTTTAAACCGATTTTTATCCAGAAAATTGGCACTCTTAATATTTGTATTCTTGTCGTATATATCTTCAAGGATTATTATTTAACACTAAACAAGTTGATAAGTTTCAAATATAATATTAGCTGAGTTCACAATGTTTTTAGGGGACCAACTCGAACATTTGATATTGTAAACAGTGTAAGTGAGAAAGGCAAATCTCTGATCGCCGATTCTCCTCAATTTTTCGATCCACCAACGGTACTCGAGGATGAGGGGAAGGCTCATTATTTGTACGTTCCACTGAATTTGTGCAAATCACTAGTAATCAAGAAAATAAGTATAAAATTTGACAAATAGGCGAAGGGTATTTCAATTTTAAGATTTTCCAATGATCGTTACAATTGGATTTGAAAATCCTGTGTTAAGAGTTAGGATAAGAAAATTTATTAAGGATTTAAGTTATTTTCATTTCTGGTATATTTGATTAAAATTGCTTCAGCAATACTACAGTGGGAGAAAAAAAGGAAAAAAAAAGTGTTTGTGGTTGGGAAAGTTCGGATTCAGAAATGCAACGAGAAATGTATCGTCGATCTCGAGACGCTATTCTAATTTTATCAGCGAATTTTATTGATAAAGCTACTCCGAGACTAAAAGAACTTGCGAAACTTTTATCTATATCCGAACATTGTAAAATTCCTGAAGTTTTTGATCATAAATGCCATGTGGTATCTTTCAATTTATATTTTTTCTCGAGAAAAAAATTTCTTCATTATAAAAATAGTAGTCAGATTCTCTTCTTAGACTGATGTGTTTCGACGATGTGTTAAAAATTTAAATATCCCATAAAAAATGATGGTGTTCGGGTGGTACTATGGATCAATTTGGCCTAATTTTGTCTCTTCGGCGAAGAAGTCTCATCGAAATATTGAATAGAGCCAGCAGAACAAATTATAGGTAGAAGAAGGCCATCTTTATTATGCAATTGAATGCATTTAAAAAGAGATTGGATTTCTAAACATGTTTTCCTTTTTTAGAAGCTTAGCGAGATAGCACTGTCGTTATTGAAGGTTGCTCCATACGACAGCAATACAATGGCTTGTTTAGGATTGCAGAAGTAAAATTTAGTTACGTTAAATTCTGTTAAAATCATATTTTCCTCCTTTTTTTCGACTTTCTATTATCAAATGTGCATCGATAATTTTCAGATATTTTATGTCAATATTGCCAATAACGGATTGGTCCGTAGAAAGCAATCGATCAACTCTGAATATAATTCTTCGAAGATTAGACAAAACCATACAGAAAATTGCGAAGAAAATGGCTTCACGGCGAAGAACCAACTGGAACGCTCTAACAAATTGGCTTGTTGGTCTGGATTATACATTAAGTGCATTTCCATATATCGCTCATTTACATCCGCTCAAGGTGAACTTTTTTTTCTGCAGCATTCACTATTTCTCGTTAGAATTGTTAATTTTAATGGGATGAGATAAAATTATATGGTCACTATTCTAAGAAAAGACAGTGTACAGTGTAGTGTAAAATGGCCTTTATAGAAGTATCGGTGACGAATTCCCAGAATCTTTGCTAAATCTTTTCTATATGCTAAATCTCTGTCAGAAAACGGCTCAAATAATTGTAGTTGGCCCTATGAAATTTAATTCTGAAATTTAGACAACAACACAAATGTGCTTACGAATAATGGTTGGCGATCCTTGCGTCCTTGATGAACCCTTGCAATCCACTGCACATAACTTCAGTTCATCCACAGTCCTTCATGCTTTATCACCACCTCAGTCGTTTTGCAATGTTGTTTTGAAAATCGCGTCATTTCTTATGCAAACTCTTGGACAAGTAATCCTTCAATATCCTTCGAAAAATGTTGTTTAAATGAAAATTTTCACTTAGTACATTTAAAATAAGAATTTAATTAGGTACAAATTGGGTGGCAATCAGGCAACAATATTTTTGATTAAATATTTATATTATTTATTGTTATATTATTTATTGTTATGTTATATTTTATTCAAGTTAAATTTTTAAATTTTACTCATTTTAAGCATAAAAATTTGTTATATTAAATAAGTAGTTAGCACTCACCATTTCTGGTTAAACTGGCTGCCCGGATTACTTAGAGTGGAAATCTTTGCTAGGGGTCATTTGGTGGCAGAAATGACAGGTGGATCGCCAATACCACCCGATAACAGGCTTACTGCTGCTACTCAGTGGCAGGAACTATACCCGTGTTTCATGGCGCGAAAATCTGAATATTTGTGCATTTTCGGCTGCCATTCTGCCATTCTTAATAATTATTAAATATTATTCTTAATATTTAAATTCCATTGTTTGGTCTGGAATAATAAAGATGAAACTGAATCACTTATTTTCAGTTATCCTTTTCGCTAGAATTTTTCTGTAGTACAGAAGGCATTGGTCCAATGGCTGACAGACTGGAAGCAGTTCTATGTCATATTCTCATACCTCTCTTTCTCCGGGCAACAATGTCGAAGAGAGGTGTCACATCTTGTATTTTGTATTTCAGCAATTATTTCTTTCTTATTTTATCTATTATTTACAATTTATTTTGGTGATTTTTATAAATTAATTAAAGATTCACCACAGTTCCATGCGAAAGATATTGCATTCACACTGAATTTGCTTCAAAATGCTATCAATCCAGCACTCGCTAAACAAAACATTGCTCTTCCCGCTAGTACATCACTCGCAACTTCTCTTATTCGTTCGAGCACGAGTGCTGTTCATGGTGCGTTAGTAAATTTCTTATATCAAATTAATAACTTCTGATAAGTTCCAACGCAGGTCAACGTTTAATCGACAAAAAATTCAGTTATCGGGTGCGCATCCAATAAATTTTTATGAGTGAGCAAATTATTTACTACACATCAGGATTTTGATAAAATCCTTTAAATAAAGTCTTTGCATTAAACAAATTATTTATCTTTTCTCAGCAGACACAGCAGCTCGTCAGGGTTCAGTTTCTGTAACAGATCGTGGGCATTCTGCTACTGTTTCAACTCATTGTATTGTAAGAGAAAGTATTTATCAATCAGTTTTTCTAGGTAAAACTTCTCAGAAACTTTTTCTTTCTTTGGTACCCGTTCTTTCGTATCGGTTAAAACAGATAAAGATTACTAAACTACAATATTTTATCTCGTCTTCAGCCTTGAAAGTGATGATGGTTTCCTTCGAAAAGCAAATGAGTATACACTGGGTTCGATTATCGAAAATAATACGAGAATTAATTTGTAAGAAAGTTGGTGGCCCATCGTTATCGTCGTTCATCGAATTCGTTCTCAGTTCCAATCTGCCTGTTTCTTTGCTAATTTTACCTGTGATGCAAAATAAGGTTTTTTCTTTTTAGATATTTCTTTCTCCACACTCAGTTAATTCAGACAAATAATTCAGTAATAATTAATTGGAAAGAACATGCAAATATTCGTTTTTTAATTTTAATTATTTCTATTACTTATTGCTTTTTAATTTTATTCCCATAAAATTCATCTTGATCCTATTTTGTATAATATAAACCGTTTCTTTACTGGCTGGCTCACTTAGACAAGGCCTTTTCAAATCGAATTGGCTTTTAATGACTGGCTTATTTCGTTGGGAACTGAGTCAACGCTTTATTGCTTTGTGCACAGTGAAATCATATGGCTCGTAAGGATAACTGAATTCAATAAATGCCAGAATTTATTTCATTCTTGATCAAAATTTCATTTGCAGATTAATCAGAAAGCAATAAATGAGCAGGAAATTTTGTGGCAAAACGAATTTAAAGAACGTGTGAACCGATTTACGAATGTTCATTCTGAAATCCGAAGTTTAGGTTCCATTCTTAATGAATTGTCGCAAGAATTACAGGCGATGAAAGAAGATTTTGCTACAAGGCCATTCGGTGATTTCTTCATATCTGCATTTTGCATTTTAGTTTATTTGAAAAATTGTGGCAGCGTTTTTAATTTTCGGGAAGAGTGTAGAAAAATATCGAAATGCTCCCTATTATTTGTTATTTACCAATGATTCTTCTCTGTTAAAAGCCTTTTCGTTTATATAACACTTTACTATATAAAAAAAATTAATAATTAATAACAAATTTGATTTTGATTTAAGATGTTAATGACGAATGTTTCAGAAGTTGCTCGATCACATACGCCAACTATAACTGCTGATCTGCATAGCGAGACCGGAAGTGCTCATAGTGGTCCTAGACTTTCTTATTCTCGTCCATCCGAATCGAGGCGTCTTTCTTCCACTAATGCAGCTAAATTAACCACTCGAGCTGGGCCTTCTAGTTTGCGTATTGTCTTCGTTCTTTTTTCCAACTCACCAACACTTTTCTAATTTCATCTTTATTTATATTTAGATACAGGAGCATTTTTCAGGTGGGCAAGGTGAAATCACTTTAAAAAATACCATTGTAGAAGATGAAGAAGTTGCTCAACTTCAAACTGTAACTGCACCCGTGCGAATATCGAAAAGTCCATCGTTACCAGCCAATAAAAGTATATACACAACAATAATAATATAATAATATATAAAATTATAATAACAATGACGATAATAGTAGCAATAATAAAAATAAATACAGTTGTAATGATAATAAATATAAAATACAAATCAATTAATAATTTAAAAGTACAAGTGTATTTAATAAAACTCTTTAATTTTTTATTATCTTTCAAGGTTCTGGGTTTTTTCCATTATTTCTTTCTCTTCTAACAGATCTTACTGGTTAGGTTGACTCCGTTGACTGTTACTGGTTAGGTTGACTCCGCTGGCTGCATGGGTAAGAAGTCTCCAGGCTGTTCGATCTGACTCTCGTCGACAAATGCCATTCCTTTTTGCATATATTCATCGAAGTCCATATATCCCTGGTCCACCTATACGTTCAAAATCTTTCCTGTCTGTATCAGTCCGGGTCTTAATTGGCACACCTCGCTTTTGACGCCATCCATCACAGCGTAACAAGTAACGAACTATGTGCCAACTTTTGTGCGGACGACGAAAAACCTAACCAGTGCCCTTAGTGCCCTAACCAGTGAAGGCGACTCTCTATGATGATATAGTTAATGCAGGTAGTGTTTGACAATCATGTGGGATTTTATGAGGTGTGCCCGTAAACTACATCTTAGCCATAAATGGTCAAAAGAGGATAATCTTGTCTTTCGCTGTCATCGGCCATGCCTTATAACCATATAGCAAGATCAAGCGAATCGCAGCTAATATAGAAGATTATTTTCGTTATTTTTTTGTAGTGATATTGTAATTTTGCAGCGATTCCATAAATTAGCTACCATTATCCAAGTTATAATTTCATATTTTCAATTTGGGATTAGGATGAATTTTTCCCACTATCAATAAATTTTTTGGGATTCGAAATGTGGCGATCAATTCGAAGAACATCGAAAGCGACAGGTTCTGAAGGTGATTGTACATTAATGAAAGGCCAGCAGTCCAATGTCGAATTACACGAAATACCGTTCGATCAACGAAAAATACCGCATATTTCAAGTGCTCGAAAGTAAATAACTTCTTTTTACGCAATATTGTATGCATATTTAATAAGTTCTTGCGATATAACAAAACTTATTACAAGCCTATAATTTTTAGACACACAAATCTTGAAAAGACATTGGTATTACCACTAAATATAGAAGAGCCACTAGCAGCGGCTGAACTCTTGGCACCGACGGAATTTAATGACAGGCATCGAGGTTTTCCACGTTTCTAAATTATTAAATTTTTTTTTTCTGCTAGCTTGCCATAAAGATATGTCATAAGGAAAGCATTTTTCTTAAGCTCAAATTTTTATTTGTTCTTAATAAAATAAAATAATAAAATAAAAGTAGAAAAATTTGATTCTCATTTTGTTTTATTTTTCGAGGTTTGCATTTAAATAATTTGCAAATAATTTGCAAATTTTAAATTTTAATAAATTTTGCAAATAAATTTCCGTAATGGTTCTAGTTATTTATTTATTGATTTTGGCCAATATTAATCGGAAATAATTTGTAAAATATACTTTGCAGTTGTGTCATTTATTACTCCAAAATATGTGCGACATGATTCGAGTGACGGTGAGGATTTCGTGGATCGCATAACCGCTTGTCATCATTATGTGTAGAAGGAAAATAATCAAGCTGTTTGTACATTTCGAAGTAGAACTATTGTCATTTTAAGTGGAACTATTGCTACGAGCCGTAGTTAACGTTAGGCTTTTGCCAGTCCGACACACATGAACTGAAATTAATGAATTATGAAAAATAATCCATTTAGTTATTTACTATAATTTTTATTGTTCTTCTTTTATCAAATCTAGTGAAATGTTTCGGATTTGGAAACTTTGTGAATAAATATAGTATTAAAAAATTTTCATTTTTTTCTTGGCTATTATAACTTATTTCCTTAATTGCTAAAATATAAATTTCAAATTTTCTGAAAAAAACCCTTACATTTTATTCAATTCCTACGGATTTCGTTATTATTTCGTTATTATTTAAATATTTTTATTTTCGTATTTATTTGTGCATTTCTTTATAATTCATCATTGTAACAGCGAAGAATTTTACACTAAAATGAGGCATCGCTATTGAAACAAATAATGAAAGTAATTAGAGTTTCACTCCATGAAATTTGATGAGAGCATTGTTTTGTACGAATAAATTTGCATGATGTGCGAACCAGAAGACTTTTATTGTGGCTGAGACGGTACACCACAAGCAAATGTTTTTTATTGCAGCCCACACCATTTCTGCGTTGCCTTCTTCGTTGACTTGACCCTTTCCCCTTGCTTGCTGGGTCTTCTTTGTAACGAAGCACCGGTCAGATCCCATTTTGTCCCATTTTCGTTCAAACCTTCTTTTCGATGTCTTTCTTAACAATTTCTGACAATTTCGACAATATGCATAATTTCTGGCGTAATTTGCTGCATTGGCAAGTTGAAATACCTTCAATGCAGAGTCGAACTGTTGGCGAAGGTTTCCCTTCTAACCATTTTTTCTTTTCTTAATTCTCTCGAAAATCAGAAATGAATAAAAGAAAAAGGACGGTAAAAATCTATTTATTAAATCTGGTCTGTTTATATCGAATATTTCATTTTAATTTGCATTTTAATCTCTCTGACCTCTCTTAGCGAATTTAAAGTCCTAACTACATAACCTTTCCACGAATAAAATTCCTATCTTAAAGCATTACGTCAAAAAGAACCTTAAATCAACTTTGTTCCATGTGGAACCATTCCTTGTGATTTCGTGCTGCAAAAATTTTCTTAAACAGTGTAGGTTTTGAGACGATTGTATGATTGGGATAATTTTGCATTCGCAAATAGCAATGCGGTCGTTTTTCTAGAATGGCGTCTGTATTTGTCGTGTTAAATAAAAAGCTTGTGGAGGGGAGGAGTGCATCGACGGGGACAGTTGCGCGAAATTCGGATAGTGCTGGTGATGCAAAGACGCTTTGAGAAGTTGTCTTCTAACGAAGCGATCTAAAGCGATTTGCTGGTTAGTAAAGCCAAGCCGAAATCGGAAATGAATAAAAGAAAAAGGATAGTGAAAATCTGTCATCGAATATTTCATTTTAATTTGCATTTTAATTCGAAAAGAAAATCTCCTTTAAGAAAAAATAAAAATTTTTGAATGGTGGTTCACTAATCGGTGAATTCTTTTTCTCGAGAATTTTCTATGCAAAACAACCACGTGAAACGTGAAAAACGTGGAAAAATTGCGAAATTATTTTAGATTGTTGTGGAATTCTTTTGTGACCAATAATTTTTCACATAAAATTGAGATTAATTTTCTGTTACATTCTTCATGTTTTAATTTATCGCTTTTATTGTATTTCTCGAGTTTTTTGTTTTAGAAGCACATTTGAACTTTTTAGTGGCTTTTAATTCACATATTGTCCGTTGCCTGTTCATTTTCATGTTGCGTGTAAGCATTAATGATTTGGCTGCTTCTGTCGACTTTGGCGTGCGTGTCGCATGAGGATTATTCAGAGGTGCCCGTCTGAGCACAACTGCTGGATATTTAAGCTTTTATATTGCCAAGAAGCAGGAAAAACTTTTCACGCTCGCTGTGTGCCTTATTTTTTCATTGCAATCTGCTTATTTCTTAATTTTATTTATTCATTTAATTTCGTGTTTGGGTTTGTGTTCACATTTATTCATACATCTATCTAGCTAAAGCTTTTGACTGTCATGCGAAGCTGTTTGAGGCCATAGGTAATATGGTGTCACTGGGAGTTTTTGTAATTGGACTTTTGACTTTCTCAATGGTTGTTTTCGAGTAGTTTGGATCGCTTGTGCCACGGTAATCGCATCGATCCTTATTATATATATTTATATTTACATATATTTGATATCAGAAAGTGCAGAACTTTGGAGTGGTGTCAAAACTTAGATTATAAAATTTATATTACGTAAGAATCAAAAAAGTAAAACAGGAACTAATTTATATTTATATTTATTTTTTATTGTTGGTCTTTGCTTTATAATCTCTTATTAAATTTAAATAATGCTACAGGTAATGGAGTAAAGGCTCGGAAACTTATTTTCAGGTAGTTTTTGTCTCATTGGAATATAATTTTGGAAATTGTGCGGCATTATTCAGGATATCATTTAGTTTCCGTTTATTGGCGAATGGTTCCGTAGTTATATTTTCTTCTATCTTATATTTTGTCACTATCATTTGGTAATAACCATTTTTTTGATTGTTTCTCTTTATTGTTAATACAAGCTTATATCCTGCTTGATCCTTGTTTAAATAAATAAAAATGCTTCATCTATAATCACATGTAATTTTTTTTGCAGATAATGAGTGTTGAAGAAAAAATAAACGATTTCACAACTAATGCAAATTTGCTTGCAAATGATTACTCGCCATCGAAGTATGTAAAATTGAATGTTGGTGGATGCTTATTTCAGACAACAGTTGGAACATTAATGAAACATGATTCGATGCTACGAGCCATGTTTTCTGGTCGAATTGAGGCAAATTTTGAGAAAATAATTTTGAGAATTTTGAGAAAATAAATTCCCGTTTTTCATTTTTCTGAAAAATCTTTGTCAGCTTTGACTTATTCATCGAAAAGAATAGCCGCTTATTACTTCCATGAAATATAATCGGTGTATTTTCATTTATCATTATTTTCATTTACTTGGCGGGATATATTTATTTTTTTGTTTACCACTAGTACCCTTTTTCCATATTATCTATACTTCTCCTCTTCTAATAGTTCTCAACAATTGTCCTAAGCCATTCCTTTTTCCATTATCTAAGTCCATATACCTTCGATCTGATCCACCTATAAGTAAAATCCTTCCTGTATTAGTTCAGATCTTATTTGGCCTTCCTCACTTTTCACACCATCTATCGCAGGATTTAGCAAATAGTGAAATATGCAATAGCTTTTGTGTTGGGCGACGTGACTTAACCAGAAAAAAATGTGCCCTAACCAGCGAAGATGATAATGCTTCCTTGGTGGTATTGTTAACGCAGGTGGTATTTGAGTGAAGGTGAATGCATTCATGTAAAATTGTGAAGTTTTATCCGCTCGGCGAATCCGTAAAATATATCTTAGACATGAATGGCCATTTGGGATTAGAGTGACTCTAAAAAATTTAAAGTCTGGCACTTCCTTAACTGGTAAAAGTAGATATTTTATCAGCTTCTCATATATAAGGCGTTTTATTTATACCAATCATGAGTCCAATTTTCGCCGCATTCTTCGACACTGTTTAGTATTCTTCGCGTTTCATAATAACTATCAGCAAAAAAGGCTACATCAAGCGTATTCAAGATCTATGATACCGTCCTCTCGATTGATTTGTAGACTTCTTGCGGATAAACAATATCCATTATGCAGACTGTAGCATAGTCGAATATTGTAGAGGAAAGTACGCGACCTTTATGAGCCCAAATCAATTCTTATTTTGAAGGAGTTTGTCAGTTCCCCCATAAACACAGATCTGTGCCTATATGTGCTGATAAAATGTCTTTATAAGTCGAATGATCTTCTCTGGAACCGTCACAATCTTCTTTGTCAGTTGAATCAAACGCAGATGTAAAATTGATGAAGTTAGAAATAGCGAAATATATGTCAGCCCCTGTGGTGGGCTTGGAAATATTTGAAGCGATTTTATAACATCCTTTTTCGCGTAAATATCTGGTCAGCATAAGCGCGCCTTATTCTAAAACCAGATTATAGCGCATTCTTATCTCTTACTGACATAATTTTACTAAGAAGTGTTTAATAAACTGATTCCTCCATAGTTATCAATATGTCTTGTTAGTTTTCTTAGGAATTGGGAGCGGAATTCTTTGCTCCAGTCATCTGGTTTTACTTCCTTCTTCGATAGCAGAGTGAACATTTATTGCAGGTATGATATGAAGGACAATGGACAAAATTTGAAGATTTTGGCCTGAAAACCATCTTTTTTGGATCATTAAGCTTCTGAATAACAAGGATTGTTTTCTGCTCTGCTGGCGGCTCAGAGTTGCAAATATATGGCTTTCTGAGCGATTCAGCTATATCCAGGACAATAGGTGGTGCATTTTGCTTAGGTTTGGACTTCTTCCTTCCACCTCAAGATATGATTCTTAATAGCCTTAACAAACACTTTACTATCCCGTATCATTTCACTGGCTGTACCTTGATTTATAGTTGTTTTATAAAAAGGCAGAATAGCATGGTTTTCTGTCATCGTCTGTGCAAGCAACTTTCTTCAACCAGGATCTCCTGGCATTCGTACCTTAGTATTTTCTTCTTACAGTTGGACAGTTCCCATATCCACATTCTAGCACGGAAGTGGCTGGCTTTCGATATCCATTTAGTTGGGTATCGGTATCTATATTTTTTCGTTATTTCCATTCTTTTCTGATATCTCGTTTTCTGCAGGCTGTTTCACTTTGATTCGGTTTTGATTGAACAAAATTTTGATTTCTATTTGTAATTTTATTTTATATTTAAAAAAGGATTAAAAGGTTGTAGAGTGGTGTTAGACATATATCTTGAGATATACCTTAATAATATATCAGATATATCTTGACTTCTATCTGGAAGTGGATGTTTGGCGAAATTATTTTATTTTAGAATCAGCCAAGAAAGAAGTGGATATTGCTGCTTAGAGTAAATATCTGGAAGGTCATTCGTTTTTTCTTAATTCTTGATCTTGCTTATTTTAGTTACTTACTGACAATGATGGTTGGATATTAATAGATCGATGTGGCAAGCATTTTGGCACAATTCTGAATTTTTTACGAGATGGCAGTATACCGCGTCCAGATTGTTGTGCTGAAATCATGGAACTTATGGCAGAGGCAAAATTTTTTCTCATACAGGTGTGCATTTCATATTTTTAGAATAGCATTTTTAGTAATTTAATTATAAATAATTAGTAATTTAATTGTTTTCCTTATTGTTTTTTAATTGGTTTCCAGAATCTTGTTCAGCAATGTCAGAATTGGCTGGATGTTATAAAAAAAGAAGATATTGAACCAGTTGGTATTTGTAAAGTTCCTATTGTTTGTACTAAAAAAGGTTCTGATCTTATTGTGAATAGTACTGCTAAGGTGATTTTGAAATTTTGATAAACGTTAATATTTAATTCTTTCGGTAGTTCTTTTAATCATTGAAATTGACGACTAAATTGACTTTTTCTATCGAAAGTAAGAACATGAATTTTTTTCTAGCCTGTCATTAAATTGCTCATTAATCGTCATAATAATAAGTATTCTTATACGGTACAATCAGATGATAATTTAATGAAAAATCTCGAACTCTTTGATCGTCTTCTGTTTCGCTTCAATGAACGTATTTTATTCATTAAAGGTTATGTTCAATCTTAAATAATTACCCATAACTACATCTGTTTGTTTGTTTTTCTGTGGTGATGATTTTGCAAAAAAGTTTTTAAATTTTATTTTCTTAATTTTTTGGATATTTTTTTGAAAATTGTTTAATTCAATTTTAGATTCTGAATTTTAGATGTTGGCGCTGAAAATTCTGAAGTTTGCCAGTGGACGTTTTATGGTCAGAGGCAGAAAAAAGCTGAAGTTATTAATTTTTCCAAAAAAAATTTGATTTTTTCGTTCATTTTTATTTGAAACGTCACAATGCTTATGGACGTTGCAAACCAAGCAATCTTCGCCCATACCTTTTGTAAATACCTCGTGGATGTGGCCTATTTATCAGGAGTCTTTCTCTCATGTCGAGTCTCGAGTGGTTATTAAACCTGGTCCTGAAAAGGTTCAGTCTACTCTGATTGAGTGGAAGCCACCAAGCGACCATATGATCTATGCACGGTTTCAAAGGAAAGTTTTGCAATATTTCATTTATCAATATATATGTTCCAGTTTTATGCGTAGATGACCACGATCAGGATAAGTTCTATGTGGAGTTTCAACTGTTAACAACGTCTTTATCGAGAAGTGAATGGTTATTATTGCAAGAGATTGGACGATGCCATCGTGATGAACTCGGTAATCGGTAAATGTGGTGTCAGGCTTCCGTGTGCAAATGGAGAGCTTCTCTTTGATATGAGCTGTTATGAACTCTTTGGTATTAATGATAACCAAAATTCCAACCAGATTGATCGCATTTTAATCAGCCGCTGGAAGAGTTCCGTACTAGATAATTCCTATCGAGGCGCTAAAACTGGTAACTTTCATGGATCATATAATAGTTCGAGCCAAGATCCACATAAATAATAATTTGCAAGAAACACCGTCTCTCAAAGTCTCAAACGAGAATAAAAGATTCGGAGACGGAGCGCATTTCAAATCGAATTATTGAAGCACCTCAATTGGATAAATATTAATGACTTTTCTGGAACGGCAGATTAATACTGGTCCCAACTAAAGGAATGTCAGCCACTTCCATGCTAAAGAATAGTAGGAAATGCGGTATCGGAAGCAATTGTCCAACTGTCCGAGAAGACTGCTGGAGTACGAATGTTTGGAGAACCTGATTTTTTTCAAAGAATTGCAACGATGGCAGCAGGGCGGAACAGAAATCACCATTGGAACGACATGGCCTTGAGAATGGAGGCTAATTAGGCAACTCGATTAGGCAATAATAGGAAACTATTCCGTCTTCTTCACACAGTTATAATTCTGAGAATGATTAGTGAAATGCTAAAGGATAACAATGGTGTACCTGTTAAGAGCAAGGATCACTCATAAGATAAAAGGAATTTTTCGAGATCAAACTTATCCATGAGGGACCATCTGTTGTTATAGATATAGGTGATTCGTTACGAGCCGCCAACCGAAAAAAAATAATCTCTATTATCCATAAGCTAAAAACCAATAAAAGTCCGGGGGAAGATGGCTTCCGTTGGCTGAATTCTTCAAGTATTTCCCATCCCTCCTACAATAAATGTACTCTCTGATATGGAAGAAGAAGAATAAAAGAATAATGCCAGGTCACTGGAAAAATAATTCCTGCTTCCAGTTCCCAAGTACCAATGTACCGAGGAATCAGCCCAGATGTCTCGGCCAAAATTTTTTTTCCTTTCTTTTCTTCTCAATAGATTAGCAGGATGCATCCTAACCAAGCTGGATTCAAACCGAATCCTTCAAATATCGGTAACCCATCATCATTTGCTTCATCGATTTTGCCTTCGAAATAGAAAAATGCTCTGGAGGATGTGGAGTATATTCCAGAAAAGATCATTCGACTTATAAAGACATTTTATCTGTATACATTGGCACAGATCTGTGGATATGGAAAACTAACAGAAAACAGACTCTTTCGAAATAAGAATTGGTGTCCGTCAGAGTTATGTTTTTTCCCTTACAATGTTCAACTGTGCTATAGGATGGATAATGGATATCGCTTGTCGACATTCAAGAGTTATGCAAATCAGTCCTGAACATAGTATCATAGAGCTTGAATACGCTGATATTATAGTCCTTTTTGCTAACAATTGTTACACAAATGCTAAACAATGTATCGATTGTAGCGAAAATTGGTCAGTATAAATAAAATGAAATTATTTTCATTTTATTTACAGAAAGCTGACAAAATACCTGTTTTTACCAATTCTTTGCCGGTTAAGGAAGTCGGTCAAATTGTCAAATTTTAAATATCTCGGATCTCGGATCAAATTTTAAATATCTCGGATCTATCCCATATGGCCAAGCGAAAGATGAAATTATAACCCGGATAATGGCAGCTAAGAATTCAGATTAAACCTTTATGGAGTCGTCGTTAAATCGCTATAAAAACGAATGTTTAAGTCTTTAGTTGCAATTCGTTCAATCTTGCTACATGACTACGAGACGAAAATTATTTTTTCTCGCTTTTAAAATAGAAAATTTCTCAGAATTTTTTTAAAAAAATTGTTTACTTAATAATTTTCCGAAATTTGAAAATTTTTCATTCGAATATGGCCAATGAGACTGGAGTATATTAAGAAGTTATCTGCCTTTGACCACACATGTCTAAAATACATTTTGTGGTTTCGTCGAGTGGATAAATTCTCACATGATCGCATCCACCTTCGAGTACCATCTGTATTAATAATGAAGTCACAGAACGTCGTCTTTACTTATTCCGGCGCATTTTTATCGTCCACCGCAGGAGTTACTCATATTTCGTTAGTGATGGTTGGTGTCAAAGACGAGGAATGACCAACCAAGACCTGGACTGATATAATCAGAAAAGGCTTTGAACTTGTAGAGGACCAGCGATACAACGGTGGAAAAATGAAGTATTTATAATTTATTACCTATGTTATTTTCAAGTGGCATTGGACCGAATTGCATGGAAACATTTATTCTTATAGTCAGCGAAGCCATCTCAACCTTCAGAGCTGTTAGAATAAGAAGATATTTAACTATAGTATAAATTTATTTTATGAAAATTTGAAAAATTTTCCATGTTAATTGAGATATTTTTTTTCTCACTTTATATGCATTTACCAGCATTTCATTTTCTATGCAATTTCAGATTTGTTGTACATCCATTGTTTATGCTACTGACAAGAAACAGACGAAAGTCGAATTCCCTGAAGCAAGGATTTATGAAGAGGCTATGAATGTACTTCTTTTCGAAGAACGTGAAGTTTGCACAAGATGCGGTGGCGATGAAAGAAATTGCTCCTCATTGCGAAATCTTCCGGCTGCTCAACTTCAACTTCCACCATTCGTTTACTCCAGTCATAGTTCTTCTGTTTCGGTATGTCTCATATTTCTCAGTATAAAATTCACTTCATTTAACTTGTTGTCAGGTGCACATTTTTCAAGTTTGTATGTTTATAACTGAAGCTCATGTTTTCCTTTCAGCATTATGTCGTTAGTCCTTTTTGTTTTGAGCAATGATAATTTTACCTGGAAATTTTGTCAAGGATCTTTTTAGCCTCAGCGAACGTCACCATCTCCCTACACATATGATTACTCGCAGGTTGCTGAAGAACGGCGTCGTATATGTCTTAATAATGATGGTCGTTCTAACAGCTTTACATCAGCTTCTAGAATTGTTGATAACCAGGTTTCTACATTCACTGAAGAAGCAATAGGCTGATGCTTGATGATTATTTATTTTCATTTAATTGGTTGGTAGAATATATATATATATATATATATATAATTTATTTTTTTTACATTGATTTTTTTTAGGAGAGAGGCTTTTTTCAATGTTTTCATATTTGCTTCGGGAATGCTATTGGTCATAGCAAATATGAAAGCATTGAAATTTGGAAGCATAGTCGTAATCTTTTAAGTTTATACATATACATATAACTATTTTATACATATAACTATTTTTATATTTATGTCTGCAAATTTTGAATTTTGCAAAATCTTTAGGTATGTGTATATAATCAAGTGGATTAATGCTTGGAAAACCTGGGCCAGCAATATTTCCTCTCCTCTAACGGCCGCAGCAGACGATATCATCCACTTTGGGAAACATGGATCTAGATTATACATTAAATTTTTTTGCAGAAATAGTTTTCTTTTCGTAAGGAAAAGGAATAATTTAGGCTTAGTTTTTTTTCTTCTCAGGTTTTATAGATTTGTGATTTTATTGAGACATTTTTAGATGGTGAAAATATTTATAAGAAAACCATTATATGTATATATATGTATAAAGTTCCCTTTTTATACTTGGCTTAAAGATGGAATCCTCCTTGTCCTATGAAGAATTTCCTAATGTTTACATCAGTATTCTCCATTTCTTCGTTTAACCATCCCACTATACTAGAATAACCGACAGGGCATATATGTTTGTGGCGTAGATCGTGCTTTTGCCATTGAGTTGGCTGTTTAATATTATTCTTTGATACTACTTTGATTTTACTATCTTCTCTACCTTTTCCTAGCGGTTTCAATATGACTGCATAGTGCCATGATGCTTGTAATTGTTTTTTACACTGGTAGTTTGGTTCCATAAATCTTAATTATTTCCCCTCTCTTTACTACCGGCCACTTCTCTTCAGATTGATTTTGAGCGACTGCTTCTATCCATGAGCAGTTTCCAATTTCAGTTTTCCAATCCCAATTTTCCAATTTTTTCTGATTATTCCCAGTGCTATATTGCTGCACATATACTAGTATATCGCCGTGTAGCTTGGTAGCTGTGATTGCTTTCTATATTGTGGTGAAGAAAGTTATTAGCTGATTGGTTTTTTGCATTGATATGAATCTTTTTCTATTGTTCAATTTTTGTCGTTGGAGTTGTATTTACTATGTCGTTGCACTACTGTCGAAAATACACCTGAAATTCTTTCAAGAATGGGGCATTTATCTTTTTGATTTCTGCTTCGTTAATATATCTCATTAACCTCTCTCTAGAACTCCCGTATTTTTTTAGTAACGAGATCCTATCAAACAGTTCTATAGTCCCTTAAGTTGATAATATAAATATATATTGTTATATATATTGTTGTTCTTCTAATAACTTGTACCATTAGCGATTAAGTTTACAACAAGCGCTTCTAAACCCTTTCATCCAATACCATATCTAAACTTTTTTTTCCATCTTTCAAGTCCATTTGTTGCTATGCGCTTTATATTTCAAAGTCCTGCGTATGATTTGGCTAAGTCAACAGATCAGATTTTGATAGTCTTGCTGTTCTGTTATATTTCTATACATATTTATAATATAAATATGTATTATCCTGGTAGAAATAGTAAAAGCTAGCGTAATAAGAACAAACTTTTTGTGAAATCCTAAACTTATCAAGTTACATAAAATAGTTTTTACGAAACTTTTTGAATCCTATGCATCAAATAATAAAGAGATTTTACGACAAATTTTATTAGTTATTTGATAGTTATTATCTTTTTAGAATATTTTATAATATATCAGTTATCGAATATTTATTTTAGATTGCTTCTCTTAGATAGCCCTTTTATGGCTTCATTTCCTCAACTTTATTTACTCCGTTCCATGACTTCCATTTTTTAATGAAATTTTCGAAGATTTTTGTAATCTTTTATTCTCTATTTTTATAATTATTTTTTATTATATATTGCTATGAGTTTATTGCTTGTTACCTGCATATTTTTGTTTTTTAGTTTAATAAATAATTTTTCTTTTTTCTTTTGTCAGACCTTTTTCATTGAATTTGAGCTTTTGTATTTTCAGGAACGTACAGTGGAACTTCAAGTTTCTTCCTTGAATTATTTGATTTTGTACATATCTCTTTACAATATGTGCGAACTTATTGTTGAAAATATTGAAAGAGAGTCAAGATCTCTTAAGATTTTTTGCTATTTTCATCATATATATCATTGTCTTTATAAAAAAAATCAAAAATGTTTTCCCCACTTGTGTTTTTTTATTTTAAAATATTTTTTCTTTATATTTTAAATAACTGAATAGAGATGTGGCAGTATTGCTTTTTTAGCTTTCAGATGTCTTCAGAAGTGTTAAAGATTTGTGATCCATGGCAATATCATAGTAACTTTTTGAATGAATCAGTATATCCAAATGGTCGTTCAGTTGAATCTTTTCGTCCAATATCGCTTCAAGTATTCTTTTTCTTTACATGTAATAAAGATCAGTTGTTTCAGGCTTAAATTTAATGAAAATTATAGTAAGAAATGATTTTAATTTGCTATTTTTTTTTGAAATGCTTTCGTTGGAATATTTGTTTTTCTATTAAATTATGCAGTTCAACAATTTTCTTCATATAAATCATTGATCATTTAAGATGGGTGTAAAAGTATCTGCTGCTGGATCAAGTTTGGCTCGTCAAGGAAGCGCGACAGTTACTTGCATTATTGAACCATTTTTGGGTGTAACCTCCGATTCACCATCGATCATTCCTCATCTACGAGCAGTAGCTACTATTTCCCAGGTTTAAATTCATACATAGTGCAGTTCATTATTTTAGACTTTTGATTTAATATAGGTGTGTCTTTTGAGAAAAATCGTACATAGTTATTGATCAGTCATAGATTTCGAAACAATTAATTTAGTATTTTTATTAATTTGCTGGTTTGATCTCTTTTTTAATATTTTATAAAAATTGAATCGGATGTTTTGAAATTCCTCTGATTTCAGAGATTGTTGGTAAAATTTTATTAACGTTGATTGGATTAAATTATTTTTGTCCGAATTGCTTGTTGAAAACGATTTTTGGTTGGCTAGATCTTCTGAAATATTGGTGATTTTAGGCTGAGCTTTTTTAAGAGCTTCTTTTTAATACTATATTATCAATTCATTTGTTTCGCTGAAAAAGAAACAAAAAAGTTCTATAGACGGTGGTGGGAGAAGCTGAAGTTATGACCCATCAACTCATTGATCAAAATGCGTTCTGCACAAAAGATTCTCTAAAAACTGCAAACGGAAGGCTAACATGGATTTTACATTTGCATATTATGGTTAGATTTATATATATATATATATATGTCTTTACAGATTTTTTCAGATTTTTTCTAGATTTTTTTTTTTCCGATTTCAAGTCGATGAAAAGGTTTCTTATTTTAATATAACGATCAAAATAGATCTATTCTATTCTAAAATTATTTTATGTTATGCGTAATGCTGTCTTATTTTTCTTATTTTTTGTTCTAAAATTTTTTTCATATCGAATTTCTTTTATAAATCGGAAGATGATAGAGATTCTGGTTTTAGCTGTAGAAAGTTGTGAAAATCCATGCTAATATTCATATTAATATCGATGCTAATATAGATTAGATTATACCTCTGCCTTTAAAAAAATCTGTTTAATAATTTTTTGTAGATTTAGATTTTGGATACTGATGGAGCAGTATTTGATGCACTTGTAACAAGTATTATCGGTGCATTGTATAATCTTCGACTCCCTTATGTAACTTCGACTTGTGATCCGGATATTCCTATCAATATTAATGAAATTAAATTAGGTGAAGAGCTGTTTCCCGTTGAATTATCGAATATCCCCGTTTCTTGTACATTTATTGTTTATGAAGAAAAGGACAAAGAGGTATGAGTAAAATTTTATTTATTATTATTACAAAAAAAACAGACCTAATAACTTGTTTAATTTATTAAAATTAAAAATATATTTTTAATTCTTAAAAAGTATATAAAGTATAATACATATATAATATATATATATAAATAAAAATAAAAAATAGTTTTTTGCAGGCGAAAATTCTGTGCGATCCCATATCAGAACTTTTTGAATTGCTGCCAAATATTGTAACAGTTGTTGTTGGGAATAATGGCGTTTTATTTCGAATAGCACAAAATGGTACTTGTGGAAATGTTAAAACAATTCAGAGGATGGTTGAGATTGCAACTGGTCGACAGAAAATTATTGCTAATTCAATGATGGAAGCGAAAAAGCAGTCGCTTAACTCTTCTCGAAAATGAGTAAATTTTAAATTTCTTATTGTTAATTCAGTCATTCTTCTCTATCGTACTGGGGAAGAATTCATCGTATTGCTATTTTTCATTGGTGGTTAGAAGAGGTTAAATGTTATTTGAGTTGTATCAGCGTAATTTTTGTTGGAATAAATTCAATGCATTTTTGGAATTTTATGTTTCTACTTATCATAAAACAGAAATATGATTATACAAATCGAAATAAATTTGTAAATAACAAAGCAAAGATGAAAAAAATTTAGTCAAACTATAAAAAATTCTAATTCCTTCATTAAACTTTTTATTTTTCGTCTTTTTTGAAAGCTCTACTTTGTCGAATAAAATTTCAAATAAAATAAAATACTTTTTTGTTTTTATTTTGGTATTATTACTTTTATTTATCTTCTATCTTATTTTTTACTCTTTAATTTTACTATGAAATGTGACATAGAAAAATAAAATAATAGATGTGAATTTCTGTGAAGGAGTTAAAATGAATAGGATAGAAGAGAAGGTAGAAATGAGGATTTCTGTCGAGATGAAAGGTGATTCGAATAAGTGGGAAACTTTTACGAGAAAGGATATGAAAAAAAAGGTGGGATTTCTTGCGGTGATGGAAGATGAATAGGGGAATGGGATGAATAGGATGAATAGGTTGAAAATAGCACAAAGCAGCACCATCCGGATTGTAAGAGCCAAACTTTTGTCTCAAAAGGACAATTTGAGGTAATTTCGCTTCGGCTTTGCCGTTTTTTATTAAATTATTAAATTTTGTCTATATAATAAAAATTTAAATGAAGAATGTAATCTGAATTCTATTTGTTGTAGAGGATTGTAAATACAACTTTAGACAATTTTGTGGCAATGTGAATTTTTTTAAAATAGAGTAAGAAAGAATAAAACAAAATCAGTTGGTGAGTTTTTCAATATTTAGTAATTAATACTTCTCTTGAAGAAGTAGAAAATTAGTCTCGCAAATCGATTCCCTTCACTACTTTTGATTGCCGTTGCCATTTAAAAAAATTAACTGATGTAATTAAGATTCCATCAGGTAAAATCGTTTGAGGAAATCAAATTGTATTTGTTTGTTAAAATGCTAAGTGAATCGAGGATAATCTGGTTGATAAAGACTGTAAAAAGCATTTTTATAAGCCAATTTTTTTGATATTATGAAATTTATTGAAATAAAGCAATTTTTTTGAAAGTGCAAGTCATTTTTAGAAGTAAAACGATTATGGTTGATACAAATCGAATTCTGCTGAATAACATTGGAGATTCATCCGATGATTATTGGTGTCTTGATCGTTATGAACAGTTTTCAATGTCCAATCTTTCGATGAATAGCGATGGCGATAATTCATCGAACGATGCTTTGGGCGATAAGTTATTCCACCGGTTAATTTAATACTATAACGAGATGATCCATCCCAGATGAAAATAGCGCAATCTAACTGCAAACTGCAATTTGAAGAGAGAGGGCCCCAGCAAGAGGAAAGATTTTGAAGGTATACGATAGGCCAGTGATTCGTAGGTAGGAAAGCTTCAGTGTCACATAGTGAGAAATCGGCGATCTTGGAAATGTCTCGCTTTGCAGCCACGGTTAATCTAATCAGTAATGGCGCCATTGGTGTAAAAAGAATTTAGAATTAGGTAATAAATATTGGTAACATCATCAGTGAAGTGAGGGATGTGATGTCATAGACTTTTATTCTTATTTTTCTTGGTTTTTTTTAGTAATGAAATCATAATGAATCCCAAAGCGTCTAACCCAGGCATGGAATATGTTTATTGCGATGATCGAGTTACAATTAAAGCAAATTATGAACGGATACATACTCTTTGTAGATCAAAGAAACGACATAAGTTTTTCTCTTATTCTAGTGCATCTTAGTCCTTCACTCTTTTTTTTTTCTTTCCTGTGGCTTTATATTTTTAAATTCACAAATACTCCAAATCTTCTTCCAAAAGTCTCAACTCTTATTTTATATGCTACTTATGTTGAAACATTTCAGTGCGTTTAATTCTTTCTAAAAGCCATTTGGAATCATCAAATCGCACACTTCTTGAGAAAGCGGTTCTTGGATTTAGTATCAAACACGATTTTTGGATTGAAAAGTTACATACCGATACTTTGATTGAAATTGCTTCGCACAATCAGAATTCCATTATTTCATTTGCTAATTTACTCGCTATAATAGCACATTGTTGTGATTCGCCAATAAAATATTTGTTACCGCCTAGAATTGTTATAGGAAAAGTTCGAAAATATCATGAAAGTTTTTACAGAAATGATTTGCAATATATCGACAATAATTTCCGACAAACTGCAACTTTTGAAAGGGTAAAATTTTCAAATTTGTGTTTTAAAAGTTTAAAATGAATTTAGTTCATCAAATAAATAATTATAAGTAAAGGAAATTTATTTCAGGTGAGATATTTGTTTCAGTTGTTTTCAGTATGGAATTTTTCAAATTTGACGGTTTCGGAACTTAGCTTACTTATTTTCGTTATTCTTCGAATATCAATTGATCGGTTGTTGGAATCTCTACCATCTCATCTAATTAGTGAGGTCCTAAATATGGTTAGGTCGTTTTTTCTTCTTTGAAAGGGCTTAACAAGCTTTTTCGAGTTGATGAGGAAATTTTTTTTCATTTCCCCTCACTTTTTTTAAAATTGAATTCAAAAAATTTGATTTGTGGAATTTTGAAGAATTTCCCAGAAAATTAATAACAATAAAATTAATCAATATTAATTTTTCATATTTTCGTAATACGAAAATATTTTTTTCTGCAAGAGCATAAATTTTCATTTTATTTCTTTTAAACTTCTCTTTATTTAATTTTTTAAAAATAAATTTCTGATAATTCTGTAATTCTTCTTCTAACAGCTCTCACCATTATTGGTTACGCTGGCTCCAACGGCTACAAGGGAAAGATTTCCAAGCGGCGCGGTCTGATGCCATCGTCGAACGGAAGCCATTCCTTTTTCCATCGTCGAAGTCCATATATCGCTCGTCCAACTATACGTTCAAAATCTTTTCCAACCATATCAGTCCAGGTATTAATTGGCCCACCTCGCTTTTGATGCCATCCACCACACGGTTTAGCAAGTGACGAAATATGCGACAACTCTTGTGGTGGACGACGGAGAACGTGCCCTAACCAGCAGCGATCTATGATAACGTTATTAATGCAAGTGGTATTTGAATGCAAGTGGCAAGTGGTATAAAATAGATGCGATCATGTGATATCTTATCCGCTTTACATAATACGTACTTTAGACAAGAGTGGTCAAAGGCAGATAACTTCTTAATATCCTGCACTCTCATTGGCCATGTCTCAGAACCATATAGCAAGATCGAACGGATCACGGCTCTAGATGCGGACTTTCGTTTTTATGGTGATTTCGTTATGGTGTTTTATGGTGTTTTTATGGTGACGACGACTCCATAAAGATTTCATTAACCGGGAGAACGCATTTCTAGCTGCCGTGATCCGAGTTGTAATATTATACAAGTTTTGCCTGTCCATTTGGCATTAGATTGGATCCAAGTTATTTGAAATCGAGCATTTCCTCAACCGGCAATGCATTTTATCAGCTTCTTGCAGATAAGGCGAAAAGGCTTTCGTTTTACTTACACTGATCGTGAGTCCGATTCTTGCTGCAGTTTCTGACACGTTATTTAGCATTATTTGCATTTCGTCATAACTATCAGCTAATCAACAAAAAATTATACATCAGCGTATTCGAGGTCTCTGATACGATGCTTTGGATTGATTTGGACACCCCTTGAGTGCTGGTAAGCGGTGTCCATTACCCAGTCTATCGCATAGTTGAATATTGTGGGGGAAAGGACGCAACCCTGACGAACATCTGTTCTTATTTCGAAGGAATCTGTCAGCTCCTCATATATACAGATCTGCGCCGACGTGCGCTTTATGAGTCAAATGATTTTCTCTGGAACACCGTCATGTTCCATCATCCTCCAAAGCGTCGCTCTATCAATTGAATCAAAGGCAGCCGCAAAGTCGATGAAACACGTGATAGTGGGTTGCAAATATTTGAAGCGATGTTCCAATATCCTTCTTAACGTGAATATCTGGTCAGCACATCCTCGCCCTGGTCTGAAACCAGCTTGATTAGGGCGCATCCTGCTGTCCCGTACTTCCATAAATCTGTTGAGTAACAGGGAAGCAAAAATTTTCGCTGAGACATCTAGTAGGCTGATAATTGTCACAGTATGTCCTATCACCTTTCTTGAGAATTGAGAGCAGAATTGCTTTGCCCCAATCATTTGTTTATATTTCTTTTTTCCATACTAAAGAGTGCATTTGTTGAAGGTGCGTTATGAAGGACGGCATTTGAAAAGCTCAGCCCCAAGACCATCTTCTCCTGGAGTTTTATTGGCCTTAAGCTTATGGATAAGTGAAATTATTTCTTCATCTGTTGGAGGCTTGCAGTTGCAAGCGTATGCTGCGGCAAACGTATCAGCTATATCAGTGGGAATAGATGGCACTTCATGCCTCATTCCTGTCTCTTACTATTTCACTGAATCATAGTTGCTTTATGAAGAAGGCAGAATAGTTTCCTATTGTCGCCTAATCAAGCCGCCGCCTCCAATCTTGAGACCATGTCACTCCAATAGTGATTTCCGTCCCGCCTTGCTACTTTCGTTGCAAATCTTCGAAGCAGTCAGGACATTCGTGCTTTGGCAGCCTTTTCAGACAGTTGGACAATTGCTTCCGATAACCTACTAGCGCACTTTCTAGTAATGTTCCCTAGTGTGGAAGTGGCTGATTTTCGGAGACATTCCTTTAGGCCAGTATTCATCTGCTCTTCCAGAAAAGTTGTTGGTATTTATACCACTGAAGTGCTTCAATGTCTGAAGTACTCGCAGTTCCCGAATTTTTTAGCTTGAGATAGTTGAAGGATCTTGGGGGATGCTGTTTTCTGCGACTTGTCAATTTTATGCGGATCTTGGCTCGAACCATAACATGGTCAGATTCATGAAGATTGCCCGTTTCATCTCCGCGATAGGGACGACTATCTAGTACGGAACTCTTCTGACGGCCCCTGACTAAGATATAATCAATCTGGTTGAAGTGCTAGTTATCCGAAGAGTTCCACGTGATTAGATGTTTTCTATAATGATGGAAGCAAATATTAGTAACAAGAAGTTCATGCTCTTCGGCATAACGAAGAAAGCGTTCCCCATCGGGGCACGGGTCTCCGATGCCATATTTGCCAATTGTAAAGGTCATCGCAGCCGCATTATGACCTACGCGCGCATTCCAGTCTCACTCGACTATGACCATATCATGTTTCGATATAGACTTTGTTAGCAGCTGAAGTTCCGCATAGAACTTATCTTTACTCCGGTCATCTGCCGACAGAGTTAAAGCATAGAGATTGAGCATAGAAACACTGATGACCAAGATATTGCAGATCTTACCCTTAAAACTGGCATAGGCCATACGGTCGTTAACCGGTTTCCACTCAATCAAAACGAAATGGGCCTTGTCAGGCACGACAATCGCTACGCCATTTCATTCCGAGTTATTCGAAGTACCACAGTGATATAGCCAGTATCTCTATTCTGAACCAGGATTAATAATTGCTCGGGACCCAAAGTGAAGAAAACGGATCTTCGACAAGCAAGCGATATCATACACGATAATTACACAGGGTGTGGACAATGATCGCTTGGCTTGCAACGTCCATAAAAGTTCTGACGTTCCACGATGATACGGCTAATACCTCACTAATACCTCATCGCGTGTGCAGAGGTCTGTTCCCCTTGATAGGTTTCGAGCAATTAAATTTATTATTTATTTATTGATAACCAACCAAGCAGGGCGACAAGGCCATGTGCTTGTATTAATAATAACAATTAAGATAACAGAAAAAGAGAACACAAAACAAAAAAAAAAAAAAAAAAAAAAAAAAAAAAAAAAA